GGGGGGTTGTTCATTACTTATTTTAAAAATTAGACTTTTACTTTCTTTACTCAACATTTTAAGGATTCAATATTTAGGCGTCTGATTATTTTATTTTTAGTAAGTGATTCTCATGTTTTGAAGGTATTTAATTTACTGTACAGCAAGATGAATTGAATTATGTTTTATCTAGGTTATATTTGTGCACTATTTAATAATGAGTTTGATTTCTTTGAAATCTGTTATTCAGATACACCTTTGCCCAGTGGGTTATGATAAGAATAGAAATTACTGTTCGTTTTCTCTTGTTTTCAGAAAAAAAATGAAGACGGACTTGCTCTCTGTGATGAAGGTGCGTATCACTGTTGGTATTAGTATTTCTTTATTAGAGTTATTTTGTGCTCCATTTGTTGTTTGTTGAAAAGTTTATAGAGACAAAGTAACATTTTCAGACAAATTTACAGGTCAATAATATCCATACAACAGTAAATTATCATGATCATGAGTAGTTTTTTTTTCCAAGTCTACCCCCCCCCCCCCCCCTCTCTCTCTCTCTCTCATTCTCGAATAAGAAATATGGTATAAGAAATATTCCAAAGTATCACAGTGACGTAACTCTCTCTCTCTCTCTCTCTCTCTCTCTATCTCTCTATCTCTCTCTATCTCTCTCTCTCTCTCTCCCCCCCCTCTCCCTCCCCCCTATCTTCCTCTCTATCACTCTACTTCTCCTTCTCCCTCCCTCCTCCCTGTTCCTGTTTGTTTTTTTTTAAGTATTATATTTTGTCTCTGAAACAAAATGAGTAACTGTGTGTACATTTATTATTTGTTCCTTTGTTGGTGGAAAAATTGCTTTAGGCACCTTGAAGATGATGTTAAGTTCCAATGTTTTTTTTGCCCAAAAGTAAATGATGATATCTGTTATCTATTCTCACTGTTCAGTGCCTGTTTTCCATCTACAACTTTATAATGTGTTGCCAAACAAATGAATCAATTCACTTGCATGGATATTTGAAAATGGAATGTATTTGCTTGCAGAGTCACGTGTCATTGGATATGTGTACATATAAGAATGTAAAAACAAATTTATTTATTTCAACAGCCCTGGGATTATATCCTGAAAATTCTCGGCTCCTGGAAAAAAAGGCAAAGGTTCTATGTCAGCTTTACCGCTTCAATGATGCTTATGAACTTTTACAGGCTTGGCTTCGAAGAGATCCACAGGTAAAAAAACTCTCTATGTAGTTGAACTTATTATTCCCAAAAATAAGAGAGCAGTATTTCCTAACTCTTATTTCAAATATCATAGTATATATGTTAGGCTGGAGAAAAATTTTTCGTTTTTAAAAAAATTTTTACTTTTTTCATTGCCGTATGTAACCGTATCAACTGTTTGTAGGTAAGGCTGCCAGATTCCTAATCATAAGATCATTGGTTTGCTTCCCAGTCTGGGCCAAATGTTGGGTGTTGTGGAAAGAAATTTTCAACAATTTTGCCTTTTTACTCCAGGGTGGACATGGGTAATCTGCTGAGACAATGAAAGATTATATTGTTATTATGGTAATGTCTTAGCATCTTTTAAATGATAGTTTGCACTGATGCTTCTGGGGAAGCTTATGATGTTTCTTCATGTTTAAGGATCCCTTTCGGTTGCTCTGAATTGTATAACACCCGGAACCTTCTTTAGGGCAAATGAATGGATCTTTTGTACACATGGGTTTGCACTTCAGCTTATTTACCCTATCCGTACGCCCTGAGGTCATTTTGTACTCCCAGGGTTGTATTTTTCACCTTTTAGAATACTACTAGTTCAAAGATCTCTTTGAAACTTTCAGTATTTTAAAAAAACAAACATTTTGACAGACTGCTATGCAAAGCGTATGGATCGGATTAACGGGTAAATTTCCTCTTTGGAAAGTGGTGGCACAGACTTCCCCACGTCGTATGGATATGATTGTAAAACATGACGTACGGGTAGGGTTCATGGATTTTTCAAGAAATCTGGCAGTACGAAAAAATATCTTTGTTAATTAAGATTTAATTTTTTGTCTCTATGCTTATTTATATGCCACAGAAAGTAATGTTACTGATGCTTTACTGAATCCTTAAGCAATATATTTTGTTGAAACTGAAAGAATAATTGTGTTGGAGTTCATTTCATGCTATTCTGTTGGTTTGACAGAACACGTTGGCAAGGAAAGAACATGACAGACTTAAAGCAATCCTCAGTTTAGTGGAAGGCGATGATTCTGACGATGATGAAGAAACTAAGGACAGCAAGACGAATGTCTCAAGCACGGAGAAAAATGCTAGTGAGGAAAACAAAGCGTCTCTGGCACTTTTTCCACAAAAGACTCAGAACGACGATGCAACGGGTGACAAAGACAAGGCGTCCTTTGGCACCTCGAGCAAGTCTGCATTCTCATTGTTCAGTAAACAACCTTCCCCTCAGCATAAGAAAAATGAAGGTATACATGCTCCTCTCTTTCTACATGCTCCTGATTGGTTTCTTTTCCTGTCGTAAAGAGATAATGAAGTAAATATAGGGTTTCAATGTCAAAACACAATGTGAGGACACCATGCTTTACATTCTAATTTGAAATTTGTTTATAAGTTTCTCCTTGCAATATTTTAATATTCCAACATTCTAAAATAATAATCTGGATTACAAAATTTTGCCTAAAAGCCAGCTCATCTTTGTATATATTTCTTCATCCCTGAACAGAATAAATCTTCCTTTTCTTTGCACATCTATTTGCATATTATTTTCTATTCTCTCTATGATTTTAGGAGCTTTACATACCTTATGAATGGGGAGACTATATTTGTGATATAAGTGATATCAGTCAATGAAGATCTGAATGGCAACAGCCATATGTGACTGTTTTCATTTTAAAATTGTCTAGTCATTTCCTTGTCTTTTGGCTGTGAATTGCCCCTTTATGAATTCAATTTCTTTGTGGGGGGGAACTTTTCCTGAACAATCTCCCCATCATTAGAAATCTTTGTTTTATTGTGTCTGTACTATTCGTGTGAATCTTATTTCCTCCATTTTCTCAGGTCAGTTATGTTGCAAATCATGGGTGTTTGCCATGTAGTACTCTGAATTTTGTTCTGTGCCTTTTATCCGTGTAGAAAGTCAAATTGGGGAAGTTTGTGATGTTTGTTAATGCCAGTCATGAGATACTGTGGTCTGAAATGTGTTTATTTTTCTGTACTTTTTTAACTTATATTGTCTTAGTTTAATGAAGAAAGGTGAAGGATTTGTGGAGATTATATGCTTGATAACTTTTCTACTGAAAAATAATGATAATAATAATAATAAGTAGCATTTGTATACCGCATGTCCCCACTCAAAAGCAAGCTCTATGCGCTTTACACTATATTATTACCCCAGCAGACCATAGAACACTCAGAAACATTCTCAGCTTCCCGGAAAGCATTCAGTGCAAGCAGTCGGTTAAGCGCTCAAACACTAACAAACTGACAAGATCTTTCACTGTCTATAGGATATTATCAGTCAGTCATTCATTGTGCAATACATTTTTTAACTCCCTTTTTTTTCCATGCAGCCCAGTGCGTTCACATTTGACATTTTGAAGAATGATGAAACATTTTTCTTTGCTCGGCAGATCCTTCATCATCATCATCATCATCGTATCTCAGTCTGTCTCAGAAAACAGACCCTGACAAGCGCAGCCAATACTACCTCCACAGACAGAAACTAGAGGCGGCCGACACACACGAGTGGCAATTTCGAGCCCCTCCTCGTGGCTTGGCTAGTGATGAATACGGCATTTGCAAGCGGTACAGAGCCTTTGTTGTTATTTTAGTCTGCTGCTGCTACTGCTTCTTCTTTTTTTTCTTCTTCTTCTTCTTCTCCATATTCTTCTTCTTCTCCTCCTCCTCCTCCATTTGAAACAGATGTCAGCAATCATGGTTTGCCATTTTTCTCTCTTCTTGGATTCTCTAAAAAAAGAATACTTCTTATTGTCTATGGAACTGGATGTGGTGGTTTGAATTTTAAGAAGTTTGTAGCTAATTTGATGTTTACCCCAGAGGGTTATATTTCTGTCAAACAAAAGTAAATTTATGAAAAATTGGCTTCATTATTTTTATATTTTTTGCTTTCTTTATTATGTTTTTTTCATCGTGGTTTACATTTAAAGCATAAGTAGATTGGTTGTTTGCTTTGTGTTGAAGTAGGTACAGTGTAGCCAATTTTCCTAGTCTTTCCTGGCAGGGTATGGGCTTGCTTGTGAAGTCTCACCATAAATTAATTTTTAAGAGCTTATGTTGGAACCCACACAATCATTTGTCCTGGTATTCTGCGCCTAGGTATAAGGAAACTGGAAGATGTACGTTTGGAGAGAAGTGCACCCAAGCCCACTCGGAGGCGGAGCTGGACGAGTGGAACCACCGGTATGCCGTACGCAAGCAACAACTGCAGGAGTCCCTGGACGCCCGGGCTCAAGGGGGCACCTATATTGAACAGCTCCTTGAGAAGCTCATGTCTCAAGATCCGCCAAAGATGGTTGTAAGTACTGTCAAACCTGCTCTAACGACCACCTGTCCAAGACAATCACATGTACAAATGGCCACTCTCATTTCCCCTTGCGGTTTTTTTTTCCAAATACTCTAATATTAGACACTGTCCAAGACCTCCACCTGTCTAAGTCAACCATTTTTCTCCTGGACAACGGATGGCTGTCTTGGACAATTTCAACTGTATCACTCAAAATTAAAATTTAAAGATAGCATGTCTCTGTCAGTGGGGGAAGTCATCGGGAGGTCCGACTTCATTTACTGTCCCTTTTTTTTTTTTCTTGTTTCCGTCTGTCAATCTTACTTTTCCTTCTGCACACTTGGCCATTATTACATCAATGTACTGCTCTTTTCTGGAATTCAAACTCTTGTCTAAAAAAAAAACAACCAAAAACTGATAGATGTTGTTGTGGTTCCTTTTCCTCTTTTCATGCAATTGATGTGAATGGATTGTCAAATGTGAGTTTTCATAAATGCATAATACATATTTTGCCATAGAGTACCAGTTTTCCTCAGAGAAGTGAATAACGTTATTTTATTTTAGTTTTGTCCCTTGCGGCTATTTTTGTGTGCCCACCTCATCTAGGTCTGTGGAGTTTCATTTTGTGGCTTTAATTTAAACAGTTAGGATGATGTTTTATTTTGTGGGCTATCTTTACGATAAAAATGTTATTGTAATTTAGTAGTGAGCCAATAGTACACTTTCTCCTAATTTATGTCAGCAGGATATCAATATGATTTTAATTTAAGAAAGAAAAGCTTAATTTTTACATTTATCGTGATACAGACAAAGGTCTCTATTCCAGGTAAAAAGTTTTAAAAGGGATTTTTTGTCAAACCATATATGATTGTAAATGTTGTTTATAGAGATTTTTAACGCTTTTATTATTACAGTTGGTTGAAAATATGGATTTGGTCAAAATCCATGAGAACTCTGACCTGAAAGTGAGCAATTCCACCAAGAAATGCACAAATGCGTGGACTTTTACAGTCACCAGCAAGGTATGACCTGTTGTGGGAAGTGTCGTTTTATGTTGTCCCTATATTTACCAAACGTATAACATGCCACAGGTAGAAAAAAAGCAACATATTATTGGGTCCGAATGGGTCGTGTGTGGTGTTTATAATGCTGTGAGAAAGGTGGACGGAAAAATTAGCTGAGGTAGACAAAGAATAACTCGCATAAAGAACTTGAAAAGTCGGATGTCAAGAAGATGGAATGTGTAGGGTTTTTTAGCATCTCATGGGAGAACTGAGTGGAGATTCTTGACCAGCAATGTCTGTGCCAGATCCGGCACTTGGAGAAGAAATTATTGCTGCTTAGGTTGTTGGGGTGTGCTCCTGGCTGGGTTTTTATTTCTGTTCCTCTAGTTTTTCTTAGCGTCTCCTTGTTTTCTCATTGTACTTAACACTTTGTTTCCTCATCTCGCCGATTGGCGACGTTTACCACCCAGTTTCTTTGGATTTTCTCCAAAATATGATGGCAAAGTGTTAATAAACTTCTTTTTTTTTTTCATTTTGCTTCTGTGTATCTTTTCCTTTTGTTTTCCCTCACCTATACATTGAATTTGTGTAATAGAACTTTTCCGACTCAGTGTCACATATCTCTTTGCTTCAACAAACATTGTACAGCATTTAAAGTCTTCTAGAGACTAGGAGCTCTATAAATTCACATTATTATTATTATTATTGTATACATGGAAAAGGGGTAATTTTTATTATTATTTATTATAAACACGGGAAAGGGTAGCGGTTTTGTGATGTGCCATTTTGTGTGCCCCCAGCTGTGTCTGCACTGTGTGGCCCTGATGATGGACACCCACCGGAGCTACTTTCACATCTCCAGCATCTCCGTGGGGCCCAGGAAGACGCAGAAGTACCAGAACCTGGAGAACCAGTGCCAGGAGTGGATCAACCAGGACACGCTCAGCAAGGGCCAGGGAGAGTTCGTCTACAGGGTCAAGGTATGCTGTTTCGCATTGGACCTGGGTGTGTGTGTGGTGGGGGGGGGGAGGGGGGGTCATAGTCTTCTGTGCAGACAGAGTTTTAGTTTAGATATAATGAGAGTTTTATGGCACTTGCAACACAAATAGGTTTTATAAATTATCGGGACACAGTCAGCAAGGGCCAGGGAGAGGTTGTCTACATGGTCAAGGTATGCTGTTTCACACTGGACGCGGGTGAAGTTTGTTTGTTTTTTTTGTTTTTTGTTAGGTCATTTTTGTCACGCTCTTCTGTGCAGTCAAGAGTTTCAGTTTAGTTGTAGTGAGAGCCATTTCACTTTGGAGCGGGGTGTGTTGCTTTTTTTTATTTTGTCATCGTCTTCTGTAGGGGCAGAGTTTTCGTTTAGTTGTAGTGTGAGTTTTATAGCACTTGCAACACAAATATGTTTTATGAATTACCAGGACACCCTCAGAAAAAGGCAGGGAGAGTTTGTCCTCAGGGTCAAAGTATGTTGTTTCACATTGGGCCTCTGGGTAGTTAGCAGGTAATCTTGTGTGGTTTGTTCTTTCTTTCCTATCCAACATCTATCGTCCTTATCTCTCCCTTTTTTTAAAATTATTTTTTTGGGTACATTACTTTCTAGTAACACCTCTAATCTGTGGCACATATGTGACCTAATTGTGTTACAAGTGCTGTAAAACTCTTGCTAACATGACAAGACAGAGTCTAAGATGGAACCTCCTGGGGAAAAGGAAGGCCAAGATCAATCTGGGGGGCTGGGTTTAGAGGCAGATCCCAGGCATATGGGATACAAGTGACTGGAGGTGGAGAAGATTGCCCAGAACGGAGACAAGTGGAGAGCTCGGCTGCTTTTTTTCCTTCATTTTCATCTAAATGCAGATGCTTATTGGTGGATGCTATAGGGTGGTCTGCTTCTTTTTCTTCACTGTTACTTTTTTTTGTGTCTGTTTTCTGGCAAAATGTTACTGTTGTTGTGCTAACTTACAGTAAGCTATGACTCATGCAACTTCTTGTTTATCTATATTACAGTGCACATGAAAATGAGTATTCTCTTTCCTTTTCAGGTTGTCTTTAAGACAGATATTTACGGAACGTTTCGTCAGACAATTGTTTTCGATTTTGGTGTTGAGATGATCCTCATGAGAGAAGTGCAGGTCGAGTCTGCTCCAGCCACCGACCCGGAGAAGATCCGTAAGGAAATCACGCTGTCCGAGGCCCACAGGTGGAATGAGAGGACTGTCACTTTAGTTTCTTTTGAGCCTCGGTGAGTCTACTGTCAATTTGTCTTTGATAGATAGGTAGAAAGAGAACTTGGTTCAATTTTTTTTAAGTTATGTTCTTTAGATTGTTTTTTGCTCTTGAGGCTTTTTGCTGAAAAATTAATCGACAAGCCAGAACTGCCAATATATCAGAGAAGACAAATATGTCATAGGGACTATGACTTCAGAACGTTTTTGTTAATTCTGTTTCTTGGCATAATTATGCCTAAGGTATACCAGTGTACTATTTCTGTCTCAAGACTGGGATTTTTGTGTTTGCGTATTTGGAACTGTTGATTGCCTAAAACCTTTTTGTGACGTATAGTTTTTCAACTTTCACGGTGTCCAGTTTTTGCTAGCCAGGACAGAGCAGTTTCAAACGTTTGTGGGTTGTGTTACAGTTTTGCTCTTAAGTTTTAAACTATTTTATAAAAAACAAAGTATTATACTTTTTTTTAGAAGGAGAATTGGACAGCCTATCATATGAAGTGAAATTCAAGAACTTTTATTAGAGAACATTTTAAGGCACTTTACTGAAGAAATAGTGGGGAAACATGCAAAATGTGAACATACAAAAGTTTACAAACGAAGTGACTATTCAGGCAAGTTTCTGCGTCCCTGTTCTCTTTTTTGAAGAAGCATATACACATTTTAGACCAAAAAAAAAGAAAATACTCCAGGGTGTGATACTCACGAGAACACTGTTTAGAAAGAAAATAAAATAACTGCAAAAATCCCAGACAAAATCATGTTTTAAAGATTTCCTTGATTCATACCACTTCATTGTTACAAATTTTGATCTTTAATCAGGTTTCCGGTAACATTGTTTTCAAAGCAGTCATAAAATCCCGTTTGGTGTATGTGTTATTGTCCTGTCTCTTGATTGCTGTTATCAGCTTATTTTAAGACATACAGAGTAGGGGACTATGGGGTCTTGGCGTGCAATGTTGGACATACAGTGTACGGGAGCAGTCATGAAGAGGTTGTAAGCTATGGTCTGGAAAAACACTTATTTGTATTGCCATACAAATGGCTTCAAATAATGTAGTATATTGTGGTGCCTGCAGACCTGTTTCTCACAGCGAAAGGGAGAGAGCTCTATTGGCCAAGTACACCCTCCCACAGCCCGACAAGTTTTGTCCCTCGGAGACTGTCATGCACAACCTGAGCAAAGAGAACTATCGCCTCTGGATGCATCAGATGCTCTACATTGAAGAACTGGATCAAGTGAGATATATTTCAAGGTGAGTGTCTAGAAAACTCAACCCATAGAATTTGAACAAAGGAGTGACAGGGAAAAGCCGAATACAGAAGTTTAAAATACTTGTTTGATAAGTGATAATGAACTTCAGTGTTGTATTTTTACAGAGTTCTGATAGACATGTTTTGAAAGTGGCTAACATAGTTGGGATAATGTATTTATTGGCCCTTTTAATTTGTAGAGTTTTGGCATTTCTGACATAAGTATGGTTTTTATCATTTCAATATTTAAGAAGTTAATTACATAAGTATTTGTTTTGATGTGAACTTTTAACATTATTATCATTAGAGATTGGTTATTTTGAGCAGATGTTATCGGAATGGAATGTTTTCTCTACTGAAAGGAGGTGGAATTCTTCTGTAAACAGCTAGTTTGTGATTTGTGGGGAGGAGACATTGCATCTAATTAAAAATTACTAACAAATGATTTTGTGATAATTGTTCATTATTTATTCTTCAAGTACGACAACAGTTGCAAAGCTTTGTCCATAAGAGATGGCACTTTCTCACACTCTTTGTTTAATGTTTTGTTTGTTTAATCAAAATGCACTCTTTCATAATTTATAATGTACCCTATCAGTATTTGCAACGTACGCTTCAATGATTTACTCAGAATACCCATCAGTAATTTATAACATACTCGAATCTCCTTCGGCTCAAAACAGAATGCATCAAATCACAAATCTTGGTTCTCATTTTTCAGATTCAACGTGACCACAGCTCTTCAGTTGGTGAACAGATTTTTGCTGATGCCGAGCCCGCTGTCTACGGCCAAGTACGCTCAGGGTGGGGAACTTTTCGCTCGGATGGAACTGGAGGATGACCTGTCGGAGGACTCCATGGCCGGCAGGCTCATCCTGCAGGCTTCACACGTGGCCTGGGTGGCCGAAGGAAAGAAAGAACGACCAGAAAAGGTGCAGTTTTGAGTTCTGTCACAGAACTTTTTACATCACTTGTTTTGATTAACTGTAGTGTTGTTCCACTCATTTTGTGCAGCTGTAAAAATAAAGCCTAACCGTCCTAACATTAATTCTCTCAGAAATGTATTTTGTTTTGTGTGCAATTATTTGGTGCCCAATGGGGTATTGTTGGCGCTTGAAGTTACAATTCATCAGTAAATTGCTAATTTGTTTGGTTTATTTCTGCAGGTTTATGAAGCTCTTATTGAAGACAAGGGAAAGAACTTCATCTTTATTCGCCTCTCAAAGGCTTGTGTTGATGAGCTTGGACTGTCATGTGACCAAGAATTTACTGCTCAGGTGAAGAAAACTTGGTGTCACTTTCATCATTGTATTGTTTAAAAGCTGTAAGATATTCATTAATTTACGCCAGTTTTAAGAACTGAATAGTTTTTGTTGCCTGCATGCAGTATTCAGATCTGTATTACATTGTTCTGTATAAAAAACAATAACTTTCTTTCCTTCAATTGCTTCTGTCTATATTTTCTCTCACACTGTGTGCGGATGTGCTTCTTTTTACTTTAACAAACAAAATAAGGATATATCCTTATATATCTTTTCTGAAACACGTTTGCATGAGATCCTTTAGAGCAACTCCTTTTTCTTGTCATAAGGAAGTAGTGATATCAAATATACACTTTTGTAAGGATTCCTTAAAAATGACGCTAAAAGGTTATCTTTAAACAAATTTTTCTACAGTATACTGTACTGTTGTCATGCTTTTTTCCCTCAAATTTATAAATATGTCAGTTTCCTTATCTTTCCGTATCATTTGTTCAAAATATAAATCTTAAAATGTGTTTTCTTATTTTTGGCTTGTTCTATCAGATTCAGTTCCAGCTGAATAGATTGTCCATGTGTGAGATGCACTCTGCTGTTGACGGTCTGCCTACTTTGGACATTGTCTTCCCAGACTTGGAGAAAATGCCTGACAAGTTAGATTTAGATGAGAGGTATTTTTTGTTTGTTTCGTTGTTCAATGCTTCAAATTTTATTCAGGTTTGATTTGCTCTGGGTGTCTGATAATGACAGTGATAGATCAATCTTCATTTTCCTTTTTCCATAGTTTTCATTTGCATGTTTTTCTCAGCTTTATGTGGCCGATCATTTATCTAGGTTTGTTGTTTTTGGGTTTTTATCTCACAACTAAGAGGGCTATTCCAAAATGTGCCCCAATTCACTTGATATTATTTCAAATGTTTTTGAAAAATTGTTTCTTCAAGTTACTCATAGTCTCTTCATTTCCCTCTTTTCGGTACATTCTCTTGCTTTTTTTCTTAACACTTACAACACTCGTTATTTTAAGACACTGCTCTGTGTTTTAGATGAACTTGAATTGTAGAAAATCCAACCTAGCTTGTGTCACGACATGTAAATTAATGTTGTTTCTATTTTCTTTTTTCTTTTTTTTTTTTTACCTACAGTATTCTTCAAGATGAGAGTGAGAAAAAACGCCTGAATGAGAAACAGAAAGATGCAGTAAGGCTGATTATGGCCAATTCTGACTTGAAGCTGCCACCCTTATTGATTGTGGGCCCTTTTGGCACTGGGAAAACTTTTACCATGGCCCAGGCCGCGAAACAAGTCCTGAAGCAAGAGAACACGCGCATTTTGATTTGCACACACTCCAATAGGTGAGTTCGATTCCTCGATATCTCCACTAGGTTTTTCATTGTTGTATTGCTGGGGCGTCACATACTTATCACATCCCGGAGACCACTTGTTGTCTGTGTGTTATTGTATTGTTTGTATGCTCCAATAACATCCCTCAGACCTGCAACATTATTTTATCATTGGTGCAATATATGATGTCTTGATATCACAGCATAATAATACTGTTTGTGCTGTACAATCTAATGGTGTCCCCGGTGAAGGGGATGACACAGAGTGTCTTTGTTGTTTCAAACTGCATTGCTCTTTATCAGAATTCCTCCAACAGCTTCCTTCTGTAGATGTTTGGAGTACAGCCCCATACATTAGTCTAAATTCTGTCTGTCTTAATTTTTCCATGTGCTTCTTTTTATTCAAACAAGCTAACTCAAACCAACTGAAATAACACTTGCATTGTGTGTCAAACCCAGAACAATTGAATGAAAAGTGTGTGTGTGGGTCAGCACATGTGCGTGCATATGCGTGTGTGTGTGTGTGTGTACATGGTGAAACCAATATGCCAGATTCTGAACAATAAAGATGTATCTTATCATATCTACCTCTTGTGTTGTGTGTTAATTGCAGCGCGGCGGATTTGTACATTAAGGAATTCCTTCACGACTACGTGGGGTCCTCGGAACACGTGGAGGCCCGGCCCCTGAGGATCATGTACAAGTTTCGGTGGATCCAGACGGTGCCCGAAGTTGTGCTGGAGTACACGCTGCTAGAGCGAGAGGGCCCGATGGCCGGCACATTCAGAGAACCCACGGTGGAGGACGTCATGGCCCACAGAGTCATCATCACCACACTCAACAGCTCAAGATGCGTGGCAGACTTGGATTTGCCGAAGGGTACGGTTGAATGTCTTTGACTGTGACTGTTTTGTGAAAGTCTTTGTCTGTGACTGTAGTGTGAATGTATTTGACTGTGACTGTTCTGTGAATGTCTTTGACTGTGACTGTTCTGTGAATGTCTTTGGTGACTGTTCTGTGAATGTCTTTGACTGTGACTGTTCTGTGAATGTCTTTAACTGAGTTTTCTGTGAATGCTGTTGGTTGTTTGGGCTGAGGCAGCTCACTATGTGGTACTGCGCCAGAAAAAACCTTTTTGTTTGAGAAGTATTAAACTAGACATTCAACATTTTAAAAAATTTTTAAACACCTTAGTTGATGGAAACCATGCCCTTAAATTCCCGAAACATACTCCAGGACACAGTAATTTGAGATGGCTTCCCCCCCCCCTCCTTTCTTCAGAAACCCCCAAAATAGGTAAAAACAGTTTTGTTGGGGGTTATATTGTGTTGTTGTTTTTTCTGGGTCTTTAAGGTTGACTGGAAACAAAAAATTAACCTGTGAATATAATGCACTATTTTTCAGTTGAGATATGAAATTAATGGTGCAACTTGAAATATAGATTTTTTTGCTGAACAGACTTGCAGAATGATATTACGACTTATATGATGGCTTAAAACATTTGAAAACATGATTTATTTCATCTGAATGGTTGGCATAAGGTAACTGGTACTAGGGGCATATGCCTCTTATTACCCTTTATGAAGTTTGTAACTTAAAACGAGAAAAGGAAAGGTAGCTTAAGTTGTTCTGCCCATTTGCCAGTGGTTTGTGATGTGTTATCTGAGGAATTCCAAAGTGCATGAGATTGATGTTAATGAAACGGGCATAGTAAAAGAAATGCATATGAAAGACTTAATCCGTATGCTTGTAATAAATTAACAAGAATTTTTATACTTTTATCCAGATGCCTTCAGCCATATATTCATTGATGAAGCAGCGCAGTCGTTTGAAAGCGAGACGTTAATTCCTCTGTCAGTGGCCCATGAGAAAACTCGGATCGTGTTTGCTGGAGATCACATGCAGGTCTGTTGTTTGTTTGTTTTGGGGGGTGGGGGGGGGGTTATATTACTTTCGTATTGAGGCTGTGAATGTTTAAAATATATTAATTGTTCTTGCTTGCTTTTCAGAATTTCGAATTCTGTCCTTACATTTTATGTTTAATTCTGTCATGCCATTACTGGGTTTTTTTAAAAGCAGTGTTAACTTGTTGATGATATATTCGAGGCTCTGAAAGTGTGGCACAAAATGTGAAGAAGTTATTTTTTAAACTTTTCATTTGATATGTTGATTGGGGGCAAGTAGATATTATATGTTGTTCCTTCAGGACAGTGTATAATGTTGTAGCGTCTTTCATTTTTATCAAACTCTAGTCACTGAGTTTTATCTCTCTTATTCTCTTTGTCACACTTGTACAGATGAGCCCAGAGGTGTATTCTGACTTCACAAGGCAGCAGGGCTTTCATGCCTCACTCTTGGAGAGGCTGCATGAGCTGTACCCCAAGGAATGTGTTTACAAGGTCAGTTTGTCTCATTTTCTCCAAGACAAAGTTTGTATGTCTAATATATGATTGATTTACCAAAAGTAGAACGGAACTTCCATTAAATCATGGATGGAAGTCTTTCGTGTTCTGTCAGATTTCCATTGTCTGGTGGTCAGCAAAAAGGAGGTTCCCTCTTGTGAATGTATCAGTTTTGAAAAACATGACAGTCTCTGATGCTAGCTAGCGAGGGGTATATTGTGCATACATCATTGGCCATTTTAGCATGGTGAGGCTGTGGTCACTGTTATGGAATGGGTAATAAACATTTAAGCCTCATCAAGAGAGGATGTTATTTACAATGGTGTGGTAGTTTTGAGTGTTTTGGATTTGGGCATCTTTCATCTTTTCAAAAAACCAAGTTTGACGAGCACTGTGTACTGGAACAGCGATATCCTCTTTCTACATATCTATATTTCTCAGTTGGAGCTTGGGAGGAGCCAGCTTAAAGGAGTGGTCCTCAATTGCTGGGGTTTTGTTTGGGGGCAGGGGAAGGTGCTATCAATGTCAGATAAATCTTTAATGACTGAAGTGTACATAAGTTGCTCTAGTTTACATTACTTCCCCTTTCTAACATCGCTCACTTGAATTCTTCCAAAGGTAATGCTTTGTGAGAACTATCGGGCTCATGCTGCCATCATTGACTTCACGTCAGAGCTTTTCTACGACAACAAGCTCATTTCCAGTGGCAGTATAGTGGCTCATGAGCAGTTCTACCCACTCACGTTCTATGCAGCAAAGGGAGAAGAAATCCAGCATGAGAACTCCACCGGATTCTACAACATGGCTGAGGTAATGTTTGGACTGAATGATTTTACCAATAAAAGAAATGAAGCAAAATTCCATTTAAACTGATACAAACAATAATTAAGAAATCTTGATACATGATAACGCACCATTGCAAATAATCAATATGCTGTTGCTGGTTGGTGCTGTCTGTTGTCCAAAGTTTACTATCTTGTCATTTTTCACATAATATTTTTTGCAGTAAGTGCAATCATGCGTGCTTAGTTGATTTACATGGTTTGACCCCTTAGGATCTTATAAAGGGTTTCTTTAAGGGTGATGAAATAATGTTTCAATATCAATTTCATTAATGATACTAATTCCACAGTACTATTTACACTGAAAAACTATGATCCTTCCGTGGGAGATTTTTTTAAGATCAGATGATTAATTAATGTGGGTTTTTTTGTTTGTTTCAGGTGTATGAAATTGCAGAGAGGGTTGATGAGCTGAAAAAGAAATGGCCTGATTCCTGGGGCCCTTTTGATAACAATGGAATCAGCATCGTTGCTCCGTACTCTGATCAGGTGAGTTTCCTAGACAAGTCGCTTCAGAGTCTTTGTCTTTGTCTTTTTTATCTTTATTCTTCGTCTTTTAAAGCCTTTGTCATAGTCTTTTTTATCTTTCTTTTTCTTCTTTTTGAGTTCAGTCATAAAACAATTTTATCATAATCGCTCTTTTTTTTTTTAGCTCAGTGATAGCTGATTGTAAGATCTTCAGCCTGTGCTTGTTAAAGTTGCAAATGTTGTTGTTATTTCTTCCAGAGGATAGGGTCCCTCCTCTTTTCTCATTTATTATTCCTTTCAGAGGATAAGAGTCCCTTTTCATTTCATGTTTATTCAGATGATAGAGTCCCTTGTCTTTTCTCATTTGTGTTTCACGGGTGGTTGGAGGGCGCCACTGGAAGGTCCTACTTCTTTACTTTCCCTGTGTTATTTCTGTCTGTCTGTCTGTCTGTCTTACTATTTCCTAGTACGAAATGATCATTTACTCAAACAAGGACTCAAAGCTCATTTATTTTTCCTATTAGAGGATAAGATCCTATGTCTTTTCAGAGGTACTCTTTCTGCCTTAGAAGGAAGGCACTCCAAAATTGTTAATATATTTCATGTTGTAATATGCAAAATTGGGGTTTATGAATTTACCTTTTGTGTTGATCCTACAAAATGTTCAGTCTCTGCAATATGAATTATTCTCTCTCAGGTTGCGCGGATCAGGCTGGAGCTTCGCAAAAGAAAATTGTTCAATGTCAATGTGGAACGTGTCCTCAACGTTCAAGGTGAGTGGTGAAAGCATACTCGATTAATCTATATGTGATAATTGTGTCGTAATAATGATATTTGTCAATTTCCCTCTATTGACTGTGTCATTAATTTCCTAAGTCTATTTCAGGTAAGTTTTTTAATTTTCTTTTTCTTTTTGTAACCTTTTCTTGTACAGTTTTATATGAGTAGTCTATTGGTTTCATGGATGGGGTTTACCTGTTTTTATGTCATCTCATTATTGTTTCTAAATTTTTATCAGGTGGGTGTTGAGCTTTGCCCACGTGAGAGAAAGTGGGACCTAAATTTGTTTCACTTAACACCACCTTCAACTCAAGAGTGGCAAACGGAAAAAAATTATTGAGAGAGAGTACACGTGTTGTGAAAAGTTACGTACTTCTTTAAGTAAGGGGTTTAAAATGAACAAATTTCTACATTTTTGTAAAGTCTTTATGTGACTGTTCTCATCGTTGCTGTAGCTGTTTCATTGGTTTTGTGACTGAAGCATTATGTTCTAGTATAGATAGTTGCATACTTAGATTGAGGGATTTACAAAAAAGTGGCATTGAAAGTTTCAACACGAGAAAGTTACATTCATCGTTGGTCAAAGACCCGTTTTCCCACACATGCACGCACACACACATACACACACACGCGCAGAGTCTCTCTCATACACACAAAATCACACATTCATTCACACTGAGTGAACATTGAGCTGGAAATTACAAAATGTAAGTATGCACAGTGACGTGAAATACCGCATTGTTTTCATGTCTTGCTGCGCAGGCAAACAGTACAGGGTAATCATGCTGTCCATCACGAGGACTCGGCTGACGTGCAGGTCCGACCCCAACATGGAGGAGTACATGGACTTTGGGTTTCTCTCCAACATCAAACTGCTGAACACGGCTATCACACGAGCACAGTCCCTAGTGGTGGTCGTGGGAGACCCTGTCTCAGTCTGCCTGGTTGGAAAGTGCAGGTAAGGATGAAAAAAAGTTTTGAACTGAGTAATCTGGTGAATGCTTTTCTTTTCTTTTTTTTTTAGATCAGTAAAGCATGTGGTTTAAGCTTTGCCCAATTCCTTTAAGTCTATTAACGTATGGAGTACTCTTCTCAAAAACTTAATGCTCAAGGGAATTCTTACCTCAGAAGACATGTGAAGGTGCCAAATTTGAATGTTTGATTGTCTCATGAAAACCTCTTTTATTTCAAACATCTGTCTATCTCTGCTTTGAAATCTCAATCATTTACTCAGCAGGTGCTAGGAAGGTGCCACTGGTTGGTCCTACTTCTTTACTTTCCCTTTGTTGTTTCTGTCTAACTTTTCCGCAGCACTAAATGACCAGTATTGTGTCAATGTGTTTTCTTTACTCAAACAAAAATAATTTACTCATATTCCTCCAACAGGAAAATTTGGGAATACTTTCTGGAGATCTGCCACGACAACGACAGTCTCCACGGCATCTCCTGGGTCCCCCTGAGGGAGCAGCTGGACCGAGCGGAGCTGACCAAATCGTTCGTGCTGAACCCACTGGCCCCAGAGTTTGTGCCCAACCGTCAGTACCACAGCTCCCACGCCGGCCAACAGGACGCTCACGGGGGCGTGTTCCCGGGCATGCCACACCTCAACGCGTGGCCGGGCTATCCGGGGATCATGCCAGGACAGTACTTCCCTACGGTATGCGTTGACATCATGGTTTAGTTTAATTCTTCTTCCCATTTTCTGTTAACTTTCCTTTATTTTTTTTTAATTCCCCTTTCTTATTCGTTTTCTTGTTGATTTTATTACTTCACTTTATCCTCCATCTTCTACATTTTTTATTCTCTTTCTCGTACTGTCTACTGACGTCTGCTTTAACTCATGTTCTTGTTAATTTGTACTCCCCTTTGTGCTCCATCTTCTATTTCTTATTACCTTGTGTTCCTGTGCTGTCTACTGCCGTCTGCCATCTGCATAAATTTTTTTTTTTTTGGGTGTTGTTGTTTTGTTTTGTTTTTAATTGTTTTCTCTACATTGTCCTTCTTCTGTCTTTATTAGTCTTTGCGTTTTCCCTATTGTTGTTGATTTTTCTCTCAAAGTTTGTAATCCATCCATTATAGCATACCTTACATGGGGCCTTAAAATGTGAAGGTCTCATTGGATTAAAGATTTGGGAAAAAAATCAATCTTGATCAAACTGGTTTTAGCTGTACAGTTCTTATAGATGATCAATCTCTCAAAAGTGCTCATAGCTCATCCTTGGTTGTTTTTTTGTTGTTGTTTTTTTTGGAGGGGGGGGGGGATGGTTATTGCTACTATTGATAAGGATGGCGTTAATTATTTAGTAGTAAGATTACTTTGTCTACAACACATTTTTCTGATAAAATTGATTGTCCTCTTCTCGTAAGAGTGCTAGAGCTCAGTGTTGTTGATTTTTACTTATGTGGCCATTTCCTCTACATAAAACATAGAATCATCCCTTTCCTGGCAGGAAAGCACATGTTGTTTTTGAAGGTATTCTCAACATTTATACCAATTAAAATTGATCATTATTGTCTGTTTCAACTGGATTCTTTCTTTTTTTTTTCACTCTCCTTGTTCCAGATGTACTCACCATTCTACCAACAGCCCATGTACTCTCAGTACATTCCAAACCTGTTGCCAACAATGTTGTACCCTCCACACTTTGGGCGGGGAGTTCTTCCAGGGAAGCAAATGTTTGGACGCTACGTCCCTCCTAGTGGCCCCTTCCCTTACTCTCGAGGCGGTCACATGGGACGGGAGGGCATACCGCGAACAGTGGACATGCCGGGTGCTCGGAACATCCGACCATCTCGTGGAGGGAGACACATGTACTACAACCATCCCCGTCTGCCGTTCCCACCAGTTCCCCACTCTGGCTTCGCTCCCCTGATACAGCCCAACCAGCCACACGGGAACTATATCTATCTACCTGAAGACCCAAGAGCATTAGCCTTCGCCCCCCATCATCAGCCAGGCGTCCACCCCTACTTAGCGGCCTCGCATCCCTTCCCTCCCCACCACCCTATGAAGACGTCCATGGCGGCTTACGGCGGTATGGCTCACGCCTCTGGAGGGGGGATGGTCAACCCACACTACCACCCAAGTCACCACCAGGGATCACCTTCCCCACAGTCCACGCCGAATTCTCACAGTCCGCACCTGGGCCTCACCCGAGACCGCTCCGACACTTCTGACAGCGCCCGTATGGCCGATTCTCCCAGCTCTGGAATTCAGCTGTTGCCCAATGTCAAACATGTCCCCGCCCACCTGCTGGGCAAGCCCGGAGAGGTGACCACATCAGCTGACCAGATGGCAGGAAGTCCGACAGGCAATAGGATGCACGTCTCGGGTCTCCGACGTGAGGATCGTGCCCCAGCTCATGTCTCCAATCGTCCGTACAGCCCGGCCAACTATGCTAGGGAAAGGTCTGGTTCGGGGGAGACGCCTCTGTCCAGGTCTTACAGTCCAGCTAATTACCTGAGGGACCGAGCGGCGTCTGGCGAGGACATCCACTCCCGGAGGTCCTACAGCCCAGCCAACTACGCACGAGACGACCGGCGGAGCTCAGGGGAAGACGCAAGCTCCAGTCATGAAAGATCGATGTCAATTTCTCCTCCCATTCCACTATCGCTGGCATCATCGAGCCTGGTCTCCTCCAATGGTGCGGAGATCAAGGAAAGCAACGGCTCCTCAAATTTGAACAATCGAAGGCAGAGGCCAAATTTGAAGCTTCGCACTGGGTTCAGTCGACAGTACAGTGATGACCTGCCCACACCCACTGTCATCACTAATATGATCCAGATGATAGATGACAACATTGATGAAGCCTCAGCGGAAGATGATTCTCCTTCCATCCTGGGCGATAACAAAAAACCCAACTTAAAACTCCGCATGACTGTTGCTCAACGCCTCCAACACCGCCAAGCTGTGGATGGAAGTGAAGCGTCCTCCTCCTCCACCCCTCCTTCCACTGAAGATTCACAGCCATCATACGCTACCATGGTAACCCGTATGACGGAACAGAAACAGAGCATGACTGCTGAGGAGGCAGCTCACCTTGAGATACAGACGCCGCGTACTCCGAAAGGCTTTATCACACCAGGTGCCGAGAGAGAGGAGGTTGATCCGTTTGGAATTCTAAAATCTTTGAATATTGGAGGGACCCCTCAATAGCTTGTTGCGAATATCTTTCCTATGCTTTTCTGTCCCATAGTTTTCTTTAGTTGTTATCTGTTTGTTCATTGTTGTAAGACAGCATTTCGCCATGTGTTGTATGAAAAATAACTTTAGGACTTCAAAAGCAGAACATGACAAAATTTATTCTTCGTGTCCTCACAAAAAAAGTGTATATATTTCCAGTTGCTTTTACATATATACTAAATCTTTTCTGTATTGGTGAAGTGCAGTAATTGTTGACAGGGTCAGAAGTTCTTTTCTTGTGAACTGTAATGCAGATTGTGGAAGAATTTTTTGGGGTCATGATAAGGCTATCTAAACCCTGTTTTTTTTTTTTTATGTATCCGTTTTGTACAGTTGAAGTCCATTTGGTACAAAGTATTCATCTAACACAATTTAATCCTGTAATATAAGAGCGTATAACTATCTGAAAATCAGTTCTATTTTTGAGTGGTATTAAGGAGCAGTTTTCTCTTTAAAGATACTGTGCATTTGAAAGATTTTTTCTTTTGTTAATTAATGCTATTCAAATAGTACTTCTTCTGTGTGTTTTTTGTTGTTGTTTTTTTTTTTTTTAATAAATTTTGTCCTTTTTTTTTTTTTTTTTTGGTAAAACTTTTAACCCTGCGTGCCTCTACTAATTCATCATCCACACCATGTAATTCTCTTGTATTTGATTGACTTTGGGAACAGAATATTCCTTTGAGACAAATGGTTTTATTGCCAGCATATAGTGCTTCAGTCTTTTAGATTTATGGCGATTCTCTGTTGAAAAATTTGGGGATGGTATAATGACAGTGTGATGGAATTTTGAGGCAGAGGCTGAATTGGTTTGGTTTTCTTTCTTTTTATGATGTTTGAAGGGGAAGTGAGATTTGGTTTTCTTTCTTCAACAGAAACAGGAGGGAAGTGGGTATCTCTTCGAAGCTTTTACTTTTTAAAAACTAATAACAACCTAGGCGAGATTGAACAACAGAGATGATGTCAAATCTCCTGTCATAAATTTCAGATTAACGGCTCCTTTTTTCTTTTTTTTTTAAGGTCGTTTTGGTAACAAGTGCCTTGTATGTGTACTGTGTAGTTAGCAAGTATTTCGCCTAGCACACCACTGTGGGCATTTCACAAAAGCCTCTTGGCTCCGTTCGTCTTAGTTACCTGTAGCATGTCTTTCTTTTCATGTATATATAGAAGAAATATCTTACTATAAGGATATCTAAAAGTGCACCCATTACGACGTCCACTGGACTTCAGTAATTATGATATTTTTACGCACATTTTTCTCCGTATCAACCTCACTTAAAAGGCTTCAGGCACAGTTTTTTTTGCAATATTACTCTCGAGTGTTTTTCACCTTTTCGCAGCTTCTTTTTTTTCTGTTTGATGTATTTGTTTCCCCCCACCCCCATTCTTTCTTGTTTGAAGTCGTGTAATCTGCAATTAACATTGTCTTTCAAATGTTCGCTCATGTCTTGTACAGTGCAGTATTTTGTTTGAGAAGAAAACAGTAGAAGATTTACAATTTTGACATTTATTTCAGTTCCTATGAGACCATCGTCTTCTGCCTGGTTCACAGTGACATTATTTGTTAACAGCCTCTCTCAGGGGCTTTTAACATTCATGTGGCTATAAAAGATACCTGAAAATTCTTCTTTGAACTTTGATCTCCTGTAGTATTGTATCCATTGACATTTATATGTTCTCATACGCATTCTGTCTAGTTATAGTTTCCTTTATAGAAAAGTAAAGACCATTTTAATTTCAAAATGATAGCTATATATGATATTCTGTTTTCCACTTGCATTTTTAGTATGAATTGTTCAAAGCTATTGTCTCTGAATTGCATAGAATGAAAAATTGAAGACACCACACTTTACTGGTTTAGAAAGAGCTTGGTTGGTCTGTCATCTTTTTTTTTTCCTCTTTCCTAGTCACACAATTTGTCACAGGTTTGCTTTGTCCTATACTACAATTTGTTCGTCTTTGCTTCAAGTCATTTGAAATTTCTCTCTGAGTATACTTTTTAGGAAAAAAAGATGATAAAAATTTTGGCAGTGTTGTTGACGTTGGGGATTATTGTGTATTACCTGCTTGTCATTCTTCTTCATATATTGTTATTGGCAGCAGCTTTTTTTTTTTTTTTTTTCGTTTTGCACATTTCTTGTACAGAGAGCCTTTAACATGAATATCTACTAGCGCTTTGGAAGAAGGGACATGGATTGTTTGAAAGAAAGATTTTGCTCTGCAGCTGGATTGTCGATAGATGACTATTCTGTGATGAAGTTATTGGGGTCACTGTGCTTTTTTTTTCCCCCAGTTCTCCGACAGTAAAACTTGTTGGTCCCTTGCTGTGTATACTGTATGGGAATGCTACTGGATGAAAAGAAGAAAGTTTGACACACATGTACTTTTTTTTTTTATTGCACAACCATGGCTAGTATGACTAGACCTTTGCAAAGTTTGGACTCTTGACCTCTAGGGTACTGGCTGTGTGTGGTAATTTGTTAAAGTAAAATATGTACATCAAGAATATTCATTTTTACCCAATGTGAAAGTACATACATCTGTATCTTTGCTATTATTCTATACAAATCTGAATTCCTCAGAAAATGTTTTATCAAACTTTTTTCTTTTCAAAAGTAACACGCAGTTGTTAGATGAAAACCATTTGACAAGACACCAAGATTAAAAGGCAGTGTGTATTGAGACCAGTAGATTTCAATGCTTGTACTTTGTATTTTGTTTATGTTTCATAGTCGTTTCTGAAGCGACCATGTTTTGACCATGAGTAGTGTACATTTTCAGTGTGTGAAAGCTTTTCACGTGATGCAGAGCCGTCATGCTGGTGAAGCTATACATTAGAATGGTGTGCTGATGATGGGTTACGGGCATGAGTCTTGACACATACTTATTGTTTTGGTCATTGCCCTCCTCCTGTTTTTAACCTTTTCATGTTTTGAATTACGGAACAGTGCCTTAGGTGTGGCAGCCATTCTCCCCATCTGCTTGTGGACACTTTTTCACTTCCCGATGTTCAGTGTTAGGATGTACTTTCCGCCTCGTCTATAGTGAGGTCATTGAGTACAAAGTAGATTTTTCCATATGAAGTTCCTTAACCAGACTACTCTGTTAAGTTGATAAAGTACCTGGAGCAAATAGACAAGTATGGTGTATTCTTGGTATACATTAACATCGACAAGCTTTGCTTCCTTTCTCTGTACAAACCTCTGTCCATATGAAAACTCAAGATAAATTATTGTTGTCTAGAGGCACAAATACACCCTCAGAATTTTATAATCAATACAATCACGTTGGACTACTTTTTTTTTTTTGAGGGAGTGCCAGTTTGGCTGTATGCAGTTGGTTCTCCAATGGTCAGCTGTGGTCACGATCAGATCTGATGCTGGGACAATGAAGTAGTGGGAAAGCTAGATTTGACACGACAAAGATGAGCTGATTTATTTTTACTTTAACACTTTGCAGTCACTTGCCGCTATAATGCAACAATGAAAATTGTCCATTCCTGTCACTTAACGCAGTTTTATGACTGGCCCGAGAAGTCACTGCAGTTACTCTCCTGGCTGGGTGACCTGATAAGGTGCTGGCTGTGTGACTGCAAAGTGTTAGTAGCAATGATGGTATTAATAGCTACTAAGTTTGTCAAAGACTTGAATTGCTAATGCTTATAGAAAAAGAGGGCTGGACAGTTGTGACTGTACTCGCCTTTCACGTTGACAAAAATTATTCCTTGGTAGCTCACGTTGCTATTTTAGACACTTTGCTCAGGTCCTTGTCATATTAAAACAGTTCCAAAATTTAAGTTGTCTCTATTTCTGCTTATAATTAAGTGCTCATTGGAGTTGGACTTTGTACTTTGCATTGATCATGCAGACCTGACTTGCAGTGTCTATGCCACTTTATCTTGATTTTTCAATTGACTGCACTTAAACAGATAGCTGCTTATGTCTTATCGTCGCTATAATGTGTACTTACCTTCTGCACTTAGCAACACTGAGTCGTTTTACATCAGCTGATGCGAGGTGAAATCTTGTCCGCTAGAAGTTGTGAGGAAAATGTGGAGACTGCTGCACCGAGCACTGAAGCGCATGGATCTTATATCTTGAGACATTTTTTTTCCCTGGTACTGACTTTTCCTATTGGCTTGTACTCTTTATTTTTATCATACTTAGAATTTCTTATTGTAGTGTACATGTAGTGATTATTCAGACATTTTGTATTTCCATTACCAAGAGATGTTGCTGATACATTTTTTAAATCTCGTTTGGTTTTTGTGGGATTCTTATTTCTTTCTTTTGTAATCCGCTTCACAGTGTGTACGCTAATAAAGTCAGTGTTGTATTTACTCAGCAGATCTGTGTTCTGAATTGGTTTGAATTAATTAGCTACACTTTGACTATCAACTCTCTGAGCAGTGGAAAAAACAGGCAAAGTCATCTAATTGGTTTAAACAGTGTTGCTGCAAATGAAAAGAAATGCTGAAAACCCTTTCAGTTTTTGATACACAGTCGTAAAATAGTCATGTATTCAACAAATAAAAATGATAATAATTCAACCACTAATGATATTTATGATTTCCATTTTATGACATTGCCTCTTTTTGCCCAAAAACTCTTCATCTGTAAAGTACCATCTAGGGAGCAGTACAGTTGCTGTGTCACGCTATGTGTTGTTCGATTTTCCTTCCTACAATTGGAAAAGATGAATGTCCCCCCCCCCCCACAAACAAACAAAATGCTGACCACTAGAAGATGTCCATGAGTTGAAAATTGTGAAGAACACTTGATCTGTGGGATACAGACACCACAATTCAAACTGTACCACGATATGATTGATTGGAGAAAAAAAAAATGAACTCATCAAACAAGAGTGGCTGTTTTGAATACCATACCAGATCTTGTCATGTTTTGGTGACCAGTGTCTATGGTGTAGCAGTTAGGTGCTTCGCCGTCGCTTTCAATAGACCCGAGTATGATTTGGGTGTGAGGAGAATTTCTATCGAGTGTCTCTGCCTTTCTGCTGGGATGTTGGGTCCCTCTCAGCTCGAGTTGGCTCTGACAGGCATGGTTGATCCAAAATTATGGTAACTGTGTCGATGAGGCCTAAAAACACCTTTTTTTTTTTAAAGCTTTGGTGAAAAATTGTCCATACTGTGTGCTTCCCGACTTTAAAAAAGTGACAGTAAGGCTGAAAACATACTGCCACACACAACTGAAGAACGCCGCGAAAAAAGTCGTGCCCTCCTCTTTATTTCCTATCGGTGATTTCACTGACACAACTAGACGTGAGGCGCCGTGAGAACCCAGAAAGATGTGAGTGGAGGCAGCACTTTTTTTTCTCATGCGGACAGGCTCGCCCTGCTATCGGAGTGTTCCGGGACGCCATGGAGATAAAACAAGGGGTGACCACTGAGCTGTATACGCCTGCTCAGTGCCTTTTTTTTTTACACAGTCAGACGGAGTCGCGCTGACCTATGGCATAACCACTCCCGACCTAGCTGCTCGTCTGTTTCGTGGCGTACTTCAGTTGTGCGTGGCAGTATATTTTCAGCCTAAATTAGAATAACTTTTGCTTCGCCAGACTGAAAAAGAAATGTACAATTGCTAGGGTACAATTAATTGTACAGTTTATTGGTTAAAAAAGCCTCTAGGGAAGTACAACCAAGCACCTTATAAAAGCAGCTACTGTTATTTTAGCCCCTACTTCCAAAATGAATACAAATTCACACGCTAACAAATCCCTGATAGCATAATGGCAAAATTAAGATGGAGAAATTTATAACAAACGAAGCAAATGACACAAAAATATTAAGTGGAAATGAGGTTGGGTTTTTTTTTCAAACTATGGCCTATTTGTGAAAAATGATGAAAAGTCATAGAACTAGTAAAACTACAAGAATCATTTGAAGGTTACTCCCTCACTAACGATAGGTTAGAGACAAAATTAATCTCCTTTTTCATCTGTCAATATTTATGCTGTTACTTACAAGTAAAACTTTCTATTGAAAGCAACTACGATAAGGTACGCTCTCTCAAAAACATTAAACATTATGAATACTGATAGAAGATAAGACCTCCAAAGCTAATTTTATTATTTAGAGCAAAGAAACTCATCATTTACAATAAAATAAATTGAAAGCTTCATCAGTGCTGCTAAAGATCTGAAATATGACAAAGAAAAATAGGAGATGATCAGATATATTTCTTCACAAATGTCAAAATTTGTACACACACAGTCTATCTATCACAGAGCAGTTTCGAGCTCAGCAAGTTCTTTCAGGCAGCGATCCCTTCTTTCGTGTATAACTTTCATGATTTCATCATGATCCTTGCAAAACTGAAGAAGGCCGAACTGAAACAGAAAAAAAATAAATAGTGAATAATTCTCTAGAAAGATTCTTAGTGATGACAAAATGACAAAGAAGATTTTTAATCAGAACCTGCACTCATCATGTATGTTGGTAGTGTAGTGCTGAGGCTATTTCCTCGCTCATAATTGTGTGATTGCACATTCAGAAATTTGAGCCTTAGGGCCCACATGATGTCCTTGGGAAAGGCACTTTTCACAAATTTTCCTCACTTCATCCAGGTTGGAATGGATACCCGTCCATTGACAGAGAAAGATCTTGTCAGTATTTTAGTGTTTTAGCACCTATAAAATGGCAGCTTGCACTGTAGGCTTCTCAGGAAGCTGAGATTGTTTCAGAATGCTAGCAGGTCTGCTGGGGTAATAATATAGATTGTTAAGTGCATCATCATCATCATCCAGTGCCAGATCTGCGACAAACATCGGCGATCATGGTTTTCCATTCATTCCTTTGCTCGGATGCTCTCAAAAAAGCTATGTTTCCCTGATCTTTCCCTGTTACCCATTCGTTTAGGTTCCCTAAGTATGTTGTTCTGGGCCTACCCCTGCCTCGCTTGCCCTCAATTTTGCCAGTGAGAGCTAGATGTTCTAGACCCTTATGTCTATTCAGGTGTCCCAAAAACTACATTTGTCGTTTCCTGATTGTTTTTAACATTGAGCGTCCCATGTGGGCTTCATCAAGCACTACCTCATTTGATTTCTTTTCCTTCCACGATACTCTTAGCAATCTCCTAAGAAACCACATTTCTGTTGCTTCTATTTTATTTTCACTGTGCATAGAGCTTGCTATTGAACAAGAACTTGCACTATACAAATGCTGTCTATTATTATTATGCAAGCATGGATATTTTCAACTGATCAGCATCTGGCATTTTGATTAACTCTTTGCCTTTGCTTGCAGAAGATTGGGTTTCATTCTAACAAGAGGAAGTTTTTCATCGAGAATCTCCATCTGTCTCTTGGGTCGCAGTATTCCCCGCGCCCCAGGTTGGCTCTGTTCTGACAAGCAAGGTTGAAGCTGCTGATCAAATTTGTCAATGTGAGTGAAAAACATTTACAATTCTTAAGAGAAAATCTTCAACTGCAGGCATTTGTGTCCTTGTATGGTTTTCCAGGTCTAGCTGCTAGGCTGACAATGGTCTACAACTTCATGAAATTATAATAATAGATAATAAGAAATAGCATTTGAATAGCACAAATTTCTGCTCAACAGCAAGCTCTATGCGCTTTACAATCTATATAGTATATTATTACCCCAGCAGATCTGATAGCATTCTGAAACAATCTCAAATTCCTCATACAGTACAAGCTGCCATTTTACAGGTGTCAAAATAGTAACATGCTTGTAAGACGACAGATAAAACATCACAGCAGAGACTGGGGAAGATGGAGGCCTGTTCTGGGAAGGAGTGGGGCACCAAGAGATGAATGTGGCCATGGTGACTGGTGACAAAGGACAAATGATAAATGGCAGGGGACGAGTGACAAATGACAGGTAACAGGTGATAAATGACAGGTGACAAAGGATGAATAATAAATGACTGGTGACAAAAGACGAATGATATATGACAGGCGACGGGTGACAAATGACAGGTGACAGGTAACAGGTGGCAAATGATAAGTGACAGGTAACAGAAGCAAACTACAGTCGAACCTGCTCTAACGAACACTTGTCCAAGACAATCAACTGTTCAAATGACCACCTCCCACTTGCTCCCTTGTGTTTTTTCTACATTATAGTGATACTGTCCATGACGACCTTGTGTCTAAGATGACCCTTTTCTCCTCGACAATGGGTGGTTGTCTTGGACAGGTTCGACTACATACGTGTATTAAAATCATTCTAAAACTGAAAGGACTTTTACTCACAGTATCCACTGGTTCTGGCTCATCAAACCTTTGGGGAAAAATGACAAAAATGATACTTTACACAGACTTGTTATATGTGAGGCACCGTAATGAAATAAGATGCTTGTCAAAATAATTAAATCAAAGAAACAGGTATTTTTCTATTTGTTTGGAAATTCTTATCGATTTTTTCGTTTTTTGGCTCAACCCATTATCTCTTGTGAATTTTACTGAACAACACTGGTTAAAGGCACACAAAAAATGTAAATTTGCTGTTTCCAAAGACTCTAAAGCTTTGAAAGTCTCCAGATTTTGGGCGCCATTTTCTCCATTGTTTTACCTCTGAAACCAGGCCACCCCTTCCTCCTTTCATCAAAAATATCTTGACTTCTATTCAAGATTGATGAGAATTTTCTTCATCTAAAGCAAGACAAATGAACAAACTTAAAGATGATACAAATAACTCTACACGCTCAAAAATTGACGGGTGCCTGAATCCACCGGTCAATAGTGTCATGACACATATTTAATTATAAAATGGTCCCTCTTTGACAAATACATAAATAAATAGATGTTTTATTTTCATCTAGTTTCTTTCCTTGGACCTTTTTGTTGGTGCGGAGTGAAATTTCAGATCTATAATATCACTTAAAACTAAGGCATATTGTACTTGCAGCTGACGTACTTTCAGTAATAAAAGATTGACCTGTGTTTAGTCATGGGTGGACATGAAATATATAGACTTCCCCCACCCCCCACCCAACCCCCCTATCCTTATAATTGCATCTATATGGCACATATCCATACTCTGCAGTATGTTCTATGTGCTATACAACTATTGTTATTCCCCCAGCAGACCCTAGAATACTCAGACACATTCTAGGTTTTCCAGAAAGCAGAATTTGATTCATGGTTCTTGGATAATTTGTTTGGGTTTTTTTCTCAAGTTTTTCAAAAGTAGTTTATTCTTTGAGTAAGTAATGAGTGGGATGGAGCACCCAGTTGTGTTGGGTTAGAAGTTGAAAATTTTGGAGGATTGTGTTTTGCACGTTTGAGATACTATGACAGCTTAAACTTAAAAAAGGGCATGCCGCGATGCTCATATTTTTAGTGATGAAAGACTGACCAATGTTAAGTCATAGGTAGAGATGAATTTGCACTTTTTGTCCAGACAGTCGGCCTCATCAGGCGTGCTCTTCTTTGAATTTTTAGTAAGCAGTAGTTGTATAGTAGTTTAACACCCCTTTCAACACAGAAAGGTTATTCAAGAGGCAGGACCTCCGAATTTAACGTCTATCTCCAATACCAACGAGCCAAGTGGGTGGTGAGCCTTGGCTTCTCCCCAAACAGTCCAAGTCCAAAAATGCCTCATCGGGGATTTGAACCACGACCATCCACACAACAGTCAAGTATGACATCAACTGAGCTCACAGCACAACCTTTAAACAGCTACAGTATCCCTAATATGCAATCTATCCCCACGTATCCTCTCAAATTTTCAGTTTCTCACCCAAAACTACTACTGGGTACTCCATCCCACTTACCCAAGGAATAGATGACTTGAGAAAAAAAAAAAAAATCATCCACTAAACACGAATCAAACCAGCCACTTGCAAGCATCTTATCTCAATGTTTAACAGCAGCCCTGACCAGGAATCATACTGAGTACTTGACAAGAGATGTAAGCACATTATCCCCTTTTAATAAGAAAACTGATCCCCCTGAATTATCCTATAAGTAAGTTGCAATAGAACATAGGACCCTGAATCATCCTATAAGTAAGTTGCAATAGAACAAACGACCCTAAATCATCCTATAAGTAAGTTGCATTAGAACAAATGATTCTTCCTCCTGACAAAGGAACAAAGAAGAAGCTATGGGAAAAGCAAATAATAATAATAATAAAAAGCAACAACAAAAATCCCACCTTCCACACTGGGAGATTAGTTTCTTTGCTAGAAATTTGGCCCTTCTGATCTCAGCTTGGAACTTGACAAATGAACAGCTGCTGTCCAATGACCCAATACCTGTAACATGAGTATAGACATTTTCGCCGTCGGCTTTCATGAACATGCATAAGAACAAGGAATTTGAAAGCAAACGTCACTGAACAAAATATTAACACAAAGATTTTACTGTATTATATTCACTCATATTCAAATGGTACAAATTCTTTTTTTTTATTATTATGCTTAGTGACACAAAAATTACAAGGGAAAAAATTAACTTAGTTTAGTTTTAGTAAGAGTTTTACGGCACTTGCAACACAATAAGGTCATATAAGTGCCGAAGATTAGAGGTGTTACAAGAGAGTAACAAACATAAAAAAGAAGGAGGGGAGAGACAAGGACGATAGATGTTTGATAGGAAAGAAGAAGCAAACCACACCAGAGCACCCGCCAACCACCCACAAAACTTAGCAAAGACACTTATAAAATGAAAGTTCAAAAAGATAACCCATGATTTCTGATTTTTTGGCAAATGAGTAGTTTTTAAATGATTAAAAACACAGCAAAGTTTTTGTAGAATATATTTCCATTTTTTACACTTACTGTCATTTTAGTAAAAGAATATTTTCTTTTTCAAGTAGGAATAGTTCCACCATCTTTGCCCTTAGCAAATGCTCAAACTATATTCTCTTTACCAATAACAACTTTTAAACTATTCATCTGGGAACATCTCTGCCAGTATGGCCGTATACCTACATTAACTTAAGACTTGTCAGACCCAAACTTGTAAAAAGTGCCTTCCAACGACAACACAATCAATATAATATAAATGTATTTATTTTTCTTAAAGAAATTATTAAAGGCAAATTGCATATTCAGATAGTTTACACAAAAGGTTTCATTATTTCAACACATCAAGGACACCAATTCAATATTTCAAATTTTGAAAACATATGGCACTAGCTGGTGCCCACAAATGAAAAAATAAATAAAATCCACTTACCAAGTAATAAATCCTCTAGTTCTGTGATTTCTCGTCTCACCTCATGAGGATCACGCCTTACTGGAGGATTCCTGTTTCATTATGATAAGAAAAAACCTACAGTTCTAACTCATATGTTTCGTTGTTCCTAATTAATGAAGAAGACTTTAAAAAGTTATAAGCAGCATGATTCCACATAACATGGTTTTAAGACCCCTTTCAAAACCACAAGGTCATTTCAAAGAAAGGAGCTCCAAATTCAACTTCCATCTTCAAAATGAAAGAACAAAAGAGTAAAAAGAAACCCTTAAATATTCCCCAAATCATCCGTATCCAAGAATGTCCACTTGGGGATTAGAACCACAGCCATCTGTACCATAGTCTATTACCACAACAACTGAGCTAACAGTGCACCCTAAAAAAACATGGACAAATGAAGGGACCAAATAAACAAACACTTGCTGCAGCAACGTAACCTCTACTAGAGGACAAACCAATAAACAGTAGATGCCACCAATAAAAATCCTGCTTGTTGTTATGCTGCTTTGTCAGCGATGGAGAGAGGTTAAAGGATGACAATAAGCTACAAACACAATAAGACAAAGTATAGATCATGTGATACATTCAATTACAGACATTCAGTTTATCAATCATAAATCTGTAAAAGAGACAAATTATAGAGACAATAGATTACAGTGATAAACATAAAGCAAAGTAGCTTTTTTACATTAACCACACAGAATGGGCAGCCACATAAAAGTATCTTGTCTGCACACAAAACACACCATAAACAATATGATAATATAGGCCTACATCTTGATTGAAAAATACTGATAGGGGTCCATTATTGTAATGCCAAAATTAAAACACAAGACATACATTCCACCAAAGTGGTTCAGAAAAGTATGTGGACTAGAAATGAAAGAGAAACAAAACTGGAACTAGAAATAATATCACAAAGCATTTTCATTTAACAAAACTTACAATAAGTAGGAAATATCGGAATGTGTCTCTGGGATAAAGGGAGTTGTGTGTTTACACACCCATTCAGACGAGTCAGGTTGTTTGTCATACTGAAAAAATAAAAATGATTACAATAGACCCAAAAGCAAACAAGAATGTAATTGCTATTATCAAAGTTTATTGGATTGTGAGCAATAAGTATGTTACAATTTCGTTTAACTTCTTTTCTTTTTTCTTTTCATATTGTTGCCAGATTGGCACCACTTAATGAATTCATATTACCTCAACAAATAATGTATCTCAAAAGAACATGGTATAAGCATCTATGTCACTTCCTTTCTTTACTTAATTCCTTAAGTCCCATATCGAGAAGCTCACAAATATTGCCTTTTTATGCTTTATATCTTATAAATGTAGAAAGATTAGAGCAAGTAGATAATCTTGAAATGTAATTTTTCTTTTCCTGTGTTATCGAGGGGTGCAATATACAAAAGTAATTCCAACCTTAGCATTATAATTGTAAAAAGTTCCATTGATCTACTTTGCCATATTAAATGGTGGGCTGCATTTGCCCTGAATCACTCAGTTCTCATTATTTGGTTTCATTATGAAACGTTGATGTTCAAATAAGTCTTAGTTCTTCGTTATACACTATAAACCAAATAAAAATACTCACAAATGGATGAGAAAACTTCTGAGGAACCTGGCAGAAAGACATTTATGATTTTCAAGTAAAAAACTGTACAGAAATACTTCAAAGTATCATTACATTATGACAGTCAGTTTTCATTATATTCATGAGTTTCTACACTGAAATTGACTGCATCCAACAAATAATGCATATCACCAAAAAGTACATGTAGTAGAATGTGAACACTTGCATCTCACTTGGAATAAAAAAAAGAGTAATTTGACACATTCTCATATGTGTGATACAGAGGTAGTAAGCAAACCTTAAAGAATAAAATTTTTAAACTCCATTTATGCTTAGATTTACATCTGCGACAATAATTAGACTGCCAGCCAAGAGTTTAATAATAATAATAATAGATAGCATTTGTATAGTGCATATCCCCGCTCAGCAGCAGGCTCTATGCGCTTTACACTATATTATTACCCCAGCAGACCATAGAACACTCTGAAACATTCTCAGCTTCCCGGGAAGTTTACTCGGGTTATTGCTTTAAAACAGACTCACAGTGAATAAAGAAGTACAGAATGCAAATCTTCTGACTATTTTTCAAGCCGTAGTTTTCATGAGGTAACATAACTTGTATATGAATATTTATCTGATTTTTACAATTTTGTCCACAAATAAATATGAACCAGAGGCTGCACAAGCAGTCTTTAAAAAAAGCAATACCACGAGGTCAAACAACAACAGCATACAAAAAAGAGTATCTCATAAATTTCCAAACCCCTTCAGAAAATCTGTGCTCTGTTACTTTGCCTTATCAGAAGCTCAAATAATATGAATGCCTGAAAAGATCCTTTATCCAAAGGAATACAACTTGTAGCCAACCAACTCACAGTACCACACTTTACCATTAAAGCTTAATTGATAAACATGCTGAAAGTTTTTATCCCTTTTTCAAAAGAAACCCCACGAGAATTTTCAATAAGTGCCTTAGGCCATATGCACACTAGAAAAATCTCCACTTGTCCATGGCTGCAAAGTATGACATCACTTGACAGTGAACAGTAACAAACAGATGATAATGGCCTCAGTAGCATAAACACAACCCTGCTACAGTGGAAATTTTTCAAGTGTGCCCTGGGGCATTAGTTAGATAAAAATAGACCTCAGGTGACATTCTTTGTTGCAGGTTGTAACCAGACACTCATAGAAGTCATGATTACCCAATTACCGGCAACAAAGGATGAAAAAGTAAAAGTAAAGTAAGTACCTGTTTCCTTGGTGTGGCAACTACACAACTGTATGGCAACGGGTCCTCAGCGCTTTGAGGTGTTGGTACCTCTGGCAGCTCATCACAGCTGTAATCATGAGCAAGAAAGACCAGGCAAGTTGCTGGGTCAACTCCAACCACAGCTTTAGGGGTGCCAGTGGTCAGATATGGTCTCAAAGGTTCCAAAGTGGCTGGAATTTCCCTGAGAAAAGAAAAGAAACAAATGAATAGTATCAAAGTTAAGAAATTGCAGTATATCTGCTTTGTACACTTTGCACAGCAAAGAGTACCCAGCAGGACAATCAATTAGTTGTCTCACATTTTAGTGCATTATAACAGAACAAGGCTTGCTACCATGATTTGGGACTAATGTTTTTCATTTTACATTGTCTAATTTCAAATCAACCGCTGGGTGCAAGACTCCAACAAACACCATTGTTCAATACAGAATTTGGCATTTGTCAGAGTCTCGCACTCAGCCATTGAAATACAACTCTGTCAATCTTTTTAGGGCAGTCAACTCCAAGTTTTAAGAGATGAAAAAACTATGAGAACAATAGGTAAATTCATACCTAACATGAAAAAAGATTTGATACAGCACTTTCAGAGGCGTCAAAGAACTCCCCCTTACACATCTATCTAAAAAAAAAAACCCACAAAAAAGCCTTGTGTCATCCAGGGTTTCCTTACAAATATTTAGATTTTTTTTTTTTACACTTAAAACAATAGAGACATAACAGGGAATACAAAGAAAAGATTAAGATATGAAACCAATACACCATGTTAACATAAAAGGACAAGGGTTGGATGCATGAACAATAATAGTAATGAGGCAAGTGTACTTACATAACATCATTGCTGTTCACTATCCGCGTAGAGAAAAAAATGTGAAAACTCGGGTTTTTTACCGAAGCACAGGGGATCAAGGACTGGTGATGGGTCTCATTTAAATATTGAGAAATGCCTAAGCGTCTCAAACAGCTTCTCCCAATCCAGCCAACCGTACCTGCCCGTGGTGGTCCCTGTCCTCACTGACACGGCTCTGGCGAGTGGCGAGTTGTTGGCGCCAACAAACCAACCCCCCCGTTTCCTAGAGGGGTTAAAACAACAGGATGGGAGCAGGTGTGGCCCCACAAAGTGCAGGAGGCAGAACCCACCGATGTGTGGTAGACGCTATGCTCCTCACTAACACACCCCTACTCTCCCTTGAGTGGGTGTCTATTCTGCCTAACACCTCTACTACTTTCATCAACACACCCTCTGTGGCTGAGAAGGTACCAGCCAGTTTGAGAGTGACTGGGTGCAGGGGATGGACCGAGCAGAATGCCTGACTTGCTTTCTGGCCGTGAAACCTCTTAGTAAAGGCACAATGACCCAGGACGTGATGATCCAATAGCTTTTCCACTTGGCCAGTACCTCATGAAAGAGTCGAAAACCTTAGCCAGTAGCCATTGGTGACGGGGAATGGGCAACGTGAACCCTACCGGAATTACACGGTCACAGGGCAGTTAGGTCTTTCCAGTCTCATGAAAACTCCTAGTACACTCCTATCCTCAACATGAATGGCCTCTTCTCAGGGTGGGCAGACAGTCCACAGACACCCCAGTCCACAATACCGAAGCACAATCTTAAAAATCAGCCTCGCATTTTAATTTGCATCAATAATTAATGATAATTTAAATATAAATAGTAAAAATCAAGAGGCAAAATGCATATTAGACTAATAAAAACAGTTTGTTCATATTTTCTCAAAAGTATTTGAATGCTCCATACATGGATAGCGAAATGCACTGATGATAAAAAGAACAAACTACATCACCATAACACCTCACAACTTTGCTACATTCCCATAAGGAATAATCAAGATAGTCAACTTCAGATGTCCTATTTTAGGTTAATTGTGCTTTCTTGACCAGAAAAACCACAGGGACAAGTAATGCTTGGTGCAATATATTTATAATGGTAGAGAGATCAAATTCTTGACAATGCACACATGACAGCTTTCTGTCTGCCTTAACTAGAGTGAATCAATACCATAACAAAGTTCTTACCTTTCCGTTGAACTTGACAGCACAAGCCTTTTTTCCCTTTGTTCTGCACTCATTTTAAAGGGAAAATCTCTTTCAGTGTTTGCCCATGCCTCTTGTACATCTGGCTCATTACCGAACACATGTCTCCCAAATCTTAGACCAACTACAGATGGCTTGATGTCGTTTTTTCCCTCAGAGTCTTCTTTTGTCTCAGTAACTGGGGGGTTGCTAAACGTACTCTTTGCTGAAGACGGTCTCGTAACTGGTTTGTAAAACTGCTCCGTGTCACATTTATGTAAGCTGGCCCGCCGTACTAACATTTCCTCTTCTTTGTCAGGCACATTAACAGCACAGTTCAAATCTATAACAGAAGGACTTTTCTCGCTCAAAACTTCTTTTCTGCAGTGCACACTGCTATATGACGAGGAGGACAGTTGGCCAGAACTGTGGGCGGAGACTGGCCTGCTGGGAGGTTTTTCTAATCTCCCTTTAGCACTTTGTATTCTCCGTGGCATGGCTTTTTGAGGTGATCCTGTAGACATCATGTTGTCATTTCCACAGACTCTTGTCCTGTTGTTACTCTTAGCATGTCCAGTGTTGCTACGTGGTACAGAAACTTCTTGTCCTGCCTGAGCGGTTGATGCAGAAGAAGGTCTAAACAAAGTCCCTCTATACTGAAAACCCTCCTTGTGAGAAGGTATTGGTTGTTTTTCCGGAGGCCTGGGTAGAGCTGAAGAGGCAAAAAAAACCCACCAATAATCATATTTTAAAGGTTACAACCATCAAGAAAGTTAAATTTTAGTACATCCTATCAAAGGACAAGCTAAGTTCTACTTGCCTCTAGTCATATAGCAAGCTATAGCATCCAACTGTTATGTTCGGTTAACCTTTTGTTTTGCTGTCTGATATTTCTTTCAAAGCAAGGTATGATGAACATGAACATTATAAACCAGTAATGCTATGAGGTCACTTCCCCTTGAAACATAAGGTGCCAGTACCATGTTGCCTACAAATATGAACTTTATTTTTAGTGCTTTATAAAAATTTCTCTATAAATTGCAGTTCGGTTTTAACTATTTAAGATATTTTCTTCTTTACACAGACTTTATAGTTTAAATAACAAGACTCATTGACTGGAAGGCAAGACCATGGTGAAGTCCACTCACACAACTGCAAAGACCATTTCTGACAGTCACACTTTTTGCTTCACAGTTATGTGTGTAAAACATTTTACCCCATTACAGTTCACTGTTCAAGGATACAATTTATGTAGACAGTCTTATTACAACTCTGACCACCCAAACTCAACAAATAATTAGTTTATATCTCCTGTCGTTGCATAAAAGTTTTACTGTATAATTTCAAATATGTCAAATGTGTAGGCCTAATTCAAAACTAATAAAAACTACAGCGTCTATAGTTTAATTAGTTTCCACTCATAGTTTTTTGGACAGCCTCAAGAAAGGAAAATGCACTACTTTAACGTCTATTCATAATCAAACTTGTAATTTTTATTCCAAGTTGGTTCATACAAGAAGCAGCCCCCATGTGATCCTACCGCATGAGGGATGAAGACGACGACTTATTTCCAAATTCTGGTAAATCTATGCAAGGAGTTGGGAATGAGGGTTGTGTCCTGTCCCCCAGGACAGCCTGGGGGATCTAGAGTAAGAACCAATTAAACGAAGAAATAAACTAACAATATGATTAACCTGCACATTATCTCCAACATTTTAGCATCATCCTTGTTGCCACCACCATATTCATATCATCATCATCATCACCACAGACCAAACAATCCCTTTTTCTTGTTTTATCGTTCTTCAAGCATAGCAATTTATACAATGTTGACATATTTTTGCATAACTTACAAATATTGGCACCAAAATCAGGACATGGGACAAAAGACAAAAAAGTTGGTTTGTACTTGATCACTTCCATTGGAAAGATATAGATCTAGATCTTTCTCATCATGCTTGCTGTACAGGGTGTGCAAAACATAATTCATAATAAGCCTAGTTTTTTTTTTACATAGAAATCTGCAACTGAAATAGTCCTCTTGAACATCCTGTAATGTTATGTTGGAAAGAAGAAGCTCAAATAAAAGTTGCCCTTTCTGTTATTTGAGTGGATAAATTCTCTTTTTCTTCTACTTCTGTAGTAGTGTTATTGCAACGGGAGAAAAACATAGCTTGGTAGTCATTTCAAATCGGAATACTGAGCTTCTCAAACGCTATACCGACACTTTCATTTATTTTTGGAAACTTAAATAAATTCTCATCATGACTTTTAAATATTCTCGTAAATGTAGTCACTAGTTAGGCTTACCCATTATGTCAAGTCCAAGCTCTAAAGGCTTTGCTGCCGCCATGTTGTTTACAATTGACAACGGAAACATCCTTATTGTTTCTTTACAAAGAAGATTCAAGCCAGCGATATAAATTCTTTAATTTCTAACTTTCTTTCTCTGCATTTTAAAGCAAAGTAGTCTTTTTCCAATAAACAAAGTATGATAAATTTTTATGGTGATAAAATACAAAAATAACAAATTTAGAATAATGTCATCTTTATTTTGATCTCGTCGACCCAAAGAGCACGGTACCCAAACAACACACTATTTCGATGGCCGAATCTGCACTATCACCGAAGTCGAAGTCGGTGTGAGAACGTGTGAAGGGTGACTGGTCGAATTTGACATACTTTTATATTGAAGTGCCGTGAACTGACTCTTAACACCACCATGTCAAGCATCGTAAGTTATGCCTAGAACTTTTCTGTTGTCAAAGTTTATCGTTTGAGACAGTTGCTTGTTCTTTTTGTGATTCAAGTGATTGTGTCAGGACTTCTCCCTGTCCCTTCATTGACGTGTTTGGTCTAACTCACACATGACATGATACTATAGTTAGACTATTCTACTAATCTAGATCTAGATTAGATTCTAGTCTGTTACTCTTCACATAACTTGAGATGTGGTAGAACAAATGTTGATTCTAATGACTAGAATCTGGATTTTCTTTCCGATTTTTAAAAATCAAGCTGTCTGTGTCATCAACTGTCTCCTCAGCCTCTGTCACAGACCCTAGGCCTACTTGACTTGGTATGTTGTTTTGTCCGTTTTTATTATAGGCCAGCTCTAATCAAATTCAAGTCCAATTAGATTTTTTACCTATTCGGACTCGAGTCCGATTATAAGTTTTTTATCTGTTCAGACTCAGGTCAGAAAAAAGAAAGTGGCTATTCTCACCCGCCGGAAGTTCTCGCAAGATCAACTCCTCCCCTCTTCTCTCTCTCTCTGTCTCTTTCTGAATACTGTCTATCGGTGTGGACAATCAAATTGACCAAAACAAAGTTTAAAAATGATGTTAAAACACAAAAGTAAATTAATTTGGTTGTCTACAAAGATGCTACGGCTATTTAACTTTTCGAATCGAGCCGAACTACGCGGGTCGCCATTTTGTTTTGGCCGGAAATTCTCGCGCTACTCCTCTCTCTCTTTCTCTCTCTCTCTCCACTGCCCACAGACAAAATTGTACGCTTTTAGTAGGCTACAGTTGTAATGGAACGTTTGTTCACGGCACAGAATTCTACAATTTTTCTGTTATCACAGTGTAAAAGTAAAATTCTGTGGTTTAGGGTGAACGCGCACCGGGTGAGAATAGCCACAAGACTCGCCTGCACTATTCTCACTCCGGGTGAGAATAGAGGTGGCCCCGAAAAAAATGTTTTATTTATTCGAAATCGGCTTCTAAGTGAGTAATGTCATGTGAGCGTAAGGAGGTTTCATAATAGGGAGCATCTACGTACACGGTAACCGCGCACGTAGTCTCAGTATCTACATTCACGGTAACCGGATACTTAGTTTCAGGGGCCCCTTGAGCTAGGTGCACGGTAACTGCTTCGCCCCCCCTCCCCTCACTCATTACTGTACTGGCCAATCGCAAGAACGCCGCTCCGCTGACTGCCTGTTTGAAGCCCACCTACATCCCCCATCGCCCAATCCCTTCCCCCAGATAGAGCTCGCTGGATCTCTCCCGCTGTATCCAAGTTCCGGACTTTCCTTGCCCCGCTAAACCCAGGCCCAGGCATAATTAATTAAGTTTACAAAGAAAAAAAAGGGGATTCCCCGCAGTCATGCATCTAGATCTACACAAGGTGTCTATGGCTATGAACTTGGATAGAGAAAAAAAGGCAGCTGAAATGGCCTTGTCAAACAACGTGGCCTCACCACAATGCACACATCGGAGAATGTCGGAGTTCGCACAGTGCACATACAACACAGCGAGTCGCACAACACAATACTTCTGTGAAGAACGAGAGTGGATCTTTCGGTTACGGTGTACATAGACTCGGAGACTACATGCCCGGTTACCGTGTACGTAGACACTCCCTTTATAATATGTAACTGTCGTCAGGGGATTTTACGTAAAACCAGAATTTAGAACTAGATATATCTAGAATTACCTTCTAGGACTGTGTAATTGTGTCAAAAGACTGCACTCTCATTGCGGCTGTCCAATAGCAGTGTCGATGCACACGGTAACCGACAACTCATGGTCTTTCCACCACCACTACTGTGTCATCATTATTTCCACCACCATTTGTTTTTCCATAATTTCATTTTGTTTTGTGTTATAGTTTTTCTGTAATTAATTTTTTTTTAACCACATCGCACAAAATCAACAGCCATGGCCTCTTCCCCCAACAAGCCGAGATTGCGTGATCGCTACTCGCAATCTCATTGGTCGACATAATCATAATTAACTTTGCCCCCGGCAAAGTCAACTCAACTTAGTTGTTCTGTTCGTTCTAATGATGCAGGGAGGGCCAGTTTAGGTAGATCTAGACTAGATCTAGTAACTGGATATTAAAGCTCACATCTCGATTGTTATGATTGTTATTATTATAATCGAAAACAAATTCATAAATGCTGGAAATAATTAGGAACAAGGGACGGGAGTAGGAACGGACGTCACGCTGGACTCTATTCAGTCCGAATAAAATAATTTTTGTTTAATCGGACTCGAGTCTGAATAGTCACTTCGTTCTTTGCAAGGTGAAAGGAAGCTGGTTCCTTCGTGATATTAAGTCACAGGTCAGATTGCAAACTGCACTGAAAACTACAAATACGAAAGAAAAGCAGTACATTATACATCATCAAATAATATTCACAGGCTTGCTTTTTAAACACTTATGTTGTGATGGGCTAATAGATCTAACTCACCTTATGGCCTCACGCTCTCTTCCTCCATATAATGAGCAATTGTTGCCCTCTAACTTCACAACTGTTAATGTTACCACTTTTTTTTTTTAACAGAATTTTCTGGTCACTACATTCATTTCAGATCAGTGAGGGTTTTTTTTTGTTTTGTTTTTTGTTTTTGGTTGGGGGGGGGGGGTTGGGTAGGTGTTTTACGGCGCTCGCATAATATAAAGCCATAATGAGTGCGCAGGACACATTGAGCATTTTCAGTTGGTAGGAAATTTTGAATTTAGACCACCAAGGGACCTTTAACATATGCAACTTGCACACAAGACCTCCAAGATTTTTCTCCCTTGTCCAAGAATTTCTCTCTCATTTTTTAGTATTGGACATGACTATTGCTGTATAGTGTAGACGTGTAGCTTGTAACTCATGTCGTATTAATTCTTTCAAGAAACCGGGGGTCGTAAGGCCGTATCACTTTAAATTCTAGGGAACTTTTTAAAAATAATAGTGAAACGCCAAGGCAGTACACCTGTTCAGTTATTTTATTTTGTTTGATGTGTTTAATAAGTTTTTCACTCTTTTTTTTAAAATTTTGCCACAGGTGATCAGGATCCAATCGCCTGAACACGGTACCAAGAGAATAGATGCAAAAGCCTCTGAAAATATCACATCTTTCTTGGAAAGGGTAAGTACAAATGTTGAGTTGGTTTCCTTCTAGTAATTCCTATCACTTTCACACAAACAGTATCTCTAGTTTTTATTACTATTGGAACAAAATCCCTTATGGCTTAGAATGAAAGCAAATGTTGTAGCTACCCACAGAAACTGAGAGATATATACAGACTGCATGTTTTCAGTGGGGGGTTTTTTCTTTGAAAATTGATCTGTTTGTTGGTAAATTTTGAGTACATTATTGTTCTTTGTTTGATTTTTTGTACAGCATGATTATATTGATAGTTCTTATTCTTCATATATTCCCAATATTCAGCCCACTTTTTCAACCCAATCTTAGCTCGTTTTTTTATTTTGTGGTCTTCTTCTGTGAGACCTAGTTACGATTCAAGTTATACCATAAAGATTGCAAATTCTTTGTCAAGATGTTTTGTTTGTATTATTTGAATACAAACATTCATGAAACTTTTTTCTCCTGTCTTTTGATACAAAAATCTTAGGTTCAAGCGCTCTTCAGTTTGGGAGATACAGGATGGGAGCTGTACAAAGACAGAAACAAAAAAACATTTATGCGAGCGTCTCGGTCAAGAAAGTTGACCGACTATCAGATACGGTAAAGTCTTTTTGTTTTGCCTGTTTGATTTAGTTGAGATGCTTTTTTTTTTTTTTTAAAGTAAAAGCTATCGTGTAAAGGTATATCTAGGGAGGTGGGTGGTTAGTGGGTGCTCTGTTGTGGTTTGTTTCTTCTTTGCTATCCAACATCTTTTGTCCTTATGCCTCCTCCTTTTCTTTGTATGTTACACTCAAGTAACACCTCCTATTTGCATCACTTACATGACCTCTTTGTGTTGCAAGTGCTTTAGCACTTTTACTAAGATATAACTTAAGTAAAGCCCAGCTGTTCTCTGTAGAATTAGAGCTTCTGTTTTTAAGGAGAGAATGTTTAGTTTGTGAAATGACTGCTTTATTAATATTTGATTTTTTTTTCCTCTAGTCATGGAGACATGTTGTTCATGGAGTTGAGCAACAGGCAACGTAATGATTCGGAAGCTAGTAGTGGGTCCAACCAGGTCAGTGCTGTGAACAGTGAAACACGCTTAGCCAGCGTCGCTTCGGATGTACATGAGGATGAGATTGACAGACTGCTGAGAGGAGAAGATGGAAAGATATACAGAAAGCGAAATGAACAGCTGTAAGTAAAAAAATGGCTTGATTGTTGTCAATGCTCTAGCTTGTTGAAAACATTGTTCTTTATAAACTTTAAGAACATGAAAGAGGGAAAGGCTTTCTGTTTCTCAATCTCACCCCTGGAAAGTCCTGAAATAAGTGTAAAGACATTTTTGTGTTGCTGGGTACATTCTTGACACCATGAAAGTTGGTTTTGAGCCTGTGTTAGAAAGCAGAAAATAAAAAGGATTTTGTAGTGTACCATTGTGAGATTTATAGTTTTCTTTTTGTTTCTAGCATGGGTCTCAATATTCTGCTATTTAGTGGATTTCTGCTACTGCCTTTTCCTCCGCTAAGCTCCTCTACCCAGTAATGCGCCACCACTTTCTGTACATAATCAAGATTGTAAATATTTGATAAGTGACTCTTACTTGAAATTATCTTCCAAACCCTCAGACTGGTATGAAATGACCTTGCTTTGATAAATTATTGTATTTTTTATTTCAGCATTCTAGGGTTAAACAGTATAATAATAATGGGTGTCTCGCGAAAAGGGTCTTCTGTCACGATCTCGTGGAATGTTGCTCCTTTTTAAAAATTCTCACTTGAGACCCATGTTCTTGATTTCCTTTACTTTTGGTTCTAAGATTGGAAGGCAAGTACTCTTGTATTATCTTGTTTGTGTGGTGGATAAAATGGCTGTTAATTGTTTATATGTTTGATTTTGTCAATTTTGTATGTGTTGATGACTCAAAACTTTTTTTACTCCTCAATGATTCAGATGTCGACACGGGCCTCAGGGAAAGTGCTTGCACTGTGTACCGTTAGAGGTAGGACTTTGCAAAGCTTTTTTTTTTAGCCTTGTTTTTTTTTTTGGTGTTTTTTTCCTGGTAATCACAATGTATTCCATTTAGTGCCCTTTTGTGTTAGCTGTTCTTTTTTAAATCATCCTTTTTGTCACTGATTGGGGGCTTTACTTTAGGGATGTAGGTGGTTGGCAGATGCTCTGGTGCGGTTTGCTCCTTCTTTTTTATCAAACATCTATCGTCCCTATCTCTCCTGCTTTTTTTTTTTTTTTTTTTCTTTTTTTTGTGTTTGTTACTCCCTTATAACACCTCTAATCTCTAGCGTTTATGTAACCTTATTGTGTTGCAAACGCTGCAAAACTCTTACGAAATTAAACATACTTATTAAGGGTTAGTATTTTTGTGTCTATAATTTGGCATGCTTTTTTTTCCCACCTTTCTTGGGCCATAACTCTGTGACAATTTTGATTCAGTTTTACAATCAACAAAAGGAGTACAGCAACTCAGAACATGGAGTAATGAATAGATATAGTTTACAGTGACAGTCAAGAAATTAAATGGTAATACAGTAGAACACGGCTATAGCAGGACTTTTGGTTCCAGAAGAAAAATCCCGCTGTAGTTCAGGCGAGTACCCGCTATAGCAATGCAAAGGGGAAATTACAGAAAAATTCATAAAAATCCACATGATTACATCCCATCCATATCAATAAAGTTTCCGCTGTAGATTAGACTTCCTTTTCTTGTCAACTTTATTGATTATCTCAGTTTTTAATTCGAGTGTGAAGCATTTTCCTTTAGTCTTTGTTGGAAGCCATCTTTTCGTTGGTTTGTTGCTTGTGCTGTCTATCTTACCAGTAGGCCTACAGTAGAACTGGTGAAGTGGATGCGTGCGTATGCCTGAGCATCAGCGATCGCAATTCAATGAATGAGGAATCACGCTCTACACGCTCTCCTCTTCTTTTACTTTTTGGTCTAGGCCAGGGCTATGGCCTATACGCTTTTATACAGTACTGAGCGTCTAGGCTATGGCACATCGCTTTAAATTTTGGAGTGGGTCTCTACGCACCATCCCTGTCTGCCGCCTGCCCCACCTCACTCATCATTGGACTGGCCAATCACAACGCTGCACCGCTGACTGCCTGTTTGGATCCCGCATTCAGCAACCCCACCCCCTTTCCCCACAGCTAGAGCTGGCTCGGTCTCTCCCGCTGCATCCAAGTTCGGGCCTCCCCTTTCCCTGTTAAACCCGAGAACATGTAATTGAGTTTGCATGGAAACAAAGGTCCCCTGTAGGGATGGTCCCTCTCTAGGCCTGCCCCACCTCACTGATCACTGGACTAGCCAATCACAACGTGGCACCGCTGACTGCCTGTTTGGAGCCTGTCTACAGCCCCCACCCCCAGCTAGAGCTCGCTCGATCTCTCCCGCTGTATCCGAGTTGGGGACTTTCCTTACCCCACTATATCCAAACATAAGTAATTGAGTTTACATAGGGGAAAAAACGCTATAGTCATGTTCTACTGTATTTCTCTGTCAGGTTTGCTTACATACAAATTGTTGTATGCTGAACCATGTAGGCTAGTTCTATTTTTACATTTTCTTTTTATGTTTTGCCTGCAGCCCTATGACCAAGAATTCCTCAGCAAGTGTGATCCACCCATCAAATTTCTTTCCTTCCACTCCTATATCAGGAAACTGACTGGTGGAGTTGATAAGTAAGTCATATTTTTTCTGTTTCAGTGAGAGGAAATTTGCTTTTCATTCGAAACATTTCACCTCTTTTAGGAAAGAAAAATGATTCACCAATGTATGTAGGCCTACATATTTATGTGTTGTTTTTTAAGGGGATTGTTGGAGAGTACATACTTTTTCCCTCCCTGCTCTAAATGATTGTTATTGTGTCAATACGCTTGTCTATACTCAAGCAAACTCTTTCTGTCTTACTTTTTCCCCAGCACTAAATGGACATCTTGTCAGTATGCTTCCCTTTGCTAAAATATTCCAACTTTACTTTTCATCTGACTTAATTACAAGGGTAAAGAGTTTCTCTTTCTCTAACAGCGCACCAATAGAATAATCCTACTCTGGGGTTGCTTTTTTTTCATTTTACGTGTAAATAGTAAAGAGTTTGAGCAGCAGTTGACTTTTCCTGTGACTAAGACTGGCTGATTTATTGACAGGGGCAAGTTTGTAAATTTGGAGAACATGTCTTGCAAAATCAAACCTGGCTGTAAGGAACATCCACCATGGCCTGGAGGTATATGTACCAAGTGCCAGCCAAATGCTGTGACTCTCAACAGACAAGTAGGTGCTTTTTGAAGAAATTCAGATTCTTGGTTTGTCCGTTGTGAAGTTGTTAATACGGGGTGCCCACTACAGATGAGATCGGCTGATCGCCCAACTCGATCGCCTCAAAAACAAACGTGTTTGTTTTCAGTTTCGGGCGATCGGCCCGATCCAGCCGTAGTGGGCACCCTGTATAAGCGATAAAATCAGACTCACGCTATGAATTGATGTTGTCCAGATGACATTCAGACAGTCCTTAGTTGAGTGTTTTCAGAAAAAGAGAATTGGCTTATCTTACAGAGTAGTCTTTGATGTTTCTCTGTAAAGATTTAATAAATGTCTGATTGTTTTTAAAGACCTAAGGAAAAACAAAGCAAATATCTAAATTCAAAATTTGGAAAATTATCATGAAGCAAATTGACAATCTTTTCTACTTGCCTGCAATCAAAAACATTTTTGTCAGTTGATGTAGAGTCCATAATTGTTGCTCTTTCATATAACTTCTTTATTTATTTAACACTTTGCCGCCTCATCTCAATGATCGGCGACGTTTTCCTACACAATTTCTTAGAATTTTCTCCAAAATGCCTTTACCTTTGATGGCAAGAGTTTTTACTATATGTGAGCTTTGTGTTGGCAAAGTGTTAAAAAAAGAAAATGTTGATGCAAGCTATTTTCCATTTGTTTCTCAGGAATACAGACATGTTGACAACATCATGTTCGAGAACCCGGCAGTTGCTGACAGATTCCTCAACTACTGGCGCCAGTCTGGAAGCCAACGCATCGGTATCTTGTTTGGTCGATATGAGATGTTCAAAGAAGTGCCATTAGGAATCAGGGCCAAAGTTGCTGCCATCTACGAACCGCCACAAGTAAGGGAAATGATTTCATCGTACAGTTTGTTGTTAGTGTGATACAAAAGGTTTTTGCTTTGGTTCACTAGAAGATTGGTTCGAAGAGTTCGTTTTTTTCTTTCTTTTTGGTTGTTTTGTTTTGGGGTATTTTTTATATATATAATTTTTTCCGGGGGGGGGGGGGGTGAGCTAGTTCCTGAGATGTATGCAAACCAAGGACCAGAGATCAGTGCTTTTCAGTATTTGCACTGCTTTTTTCGAGAAGTGACATAAGTCTGTTAGCGTTTCATCAAACCCAGACAAAGGGAACAAACCAAAAACGACCCGCTCTGGACGTGAGCAAAGTCCATATGTGAGGCTGATCCTTGATTTCATGGTTTCAAGTGGCACTTATGACCAATAAAGCATATCCTAGACTGGTTGCTAGCCTATCGCAGGTTTTGACAAGGCTGTTGCAGGTCTCATGCTAGCCTGTTGTGCAGGTTTTGCACTGGCTTGTTGTAGGTTTAAATCCCAAATAAGACTCAAGCTTTTCGAGAAATTGACTCTCCTGTCTCTTTGTGGAAACCACAGAAGCGTTTTATTAGGATTTAGATACCACCAGGGTTCCCACAGGGTCGGGAAATCGGGAAAAAGTCGGGAATTTTGAGATAGGTTGGAAAAAAGTCGGGAATTTGTGATGGGTCGGTAAGTCGGGAAAGTATAGGCCCTGTGTAATGTGCAGCTATCTAGACTGTATGGTTGATGAATCCTAAAGAGGAAACGTAATTGAACCGCTGTGACGGAAGTGTATGTGTGACACTGAGGCTCGATCGGGAAGAATCAAGATCTGCTTTTGTTACCGCCCAGAAATTTTCCGGTAATAGTCTGATAGATAAGGCAGCATTTTGTAACATGCAGGTTGTGCATTATGAACGCTGTGTCGCCTTGAAAATAAATCAATATTAAAAATTGCCCTCTGCTGTCGCTTGTGGAAAAAAAAAAAGAAAAAGAAGTTATACAAGCGTCTTGACAGGTTCGCCCTCGTGACCGGTCAATGAACCTGTGAGTACTGGCGGTCTGAGCGCTGTGAAGTATAGGACTCCTTTATAAGATACACTCGTGGAAGGGGATTGGGGGGGGGGGGGAGCTGAAGGCAACGCTAGAGGACAAAAACTGAACTTGGAAGCAAAATTTTAGCATTTTGATTACTACTTTAGAGCTCTCTGCAAACCGCGCGTTGGTGCAGGCCTTGTGTGGAATCAGGATCCGTCATGCCTTGTTATTGAACTAAAGTGTTCGCGTTTCATTGGATGGGGTGATTGTAATTTATATCTATATTTTATTAGCTTTCTGTTCAAGATTGGCAGATTTTCAGTGTCACTGCATCTTGCGCTCAAAACAGGATTCATTTTTTTATATAGGGCCTATAGTTTGTTATATTGGCTGATATGATGATGGGAAAATATAAATAAGTAAGAACAGACTGAAATACCAAAGTCTCTCAAGATCCCAGTGCCACACTGACATGTTAACTGGATATAATGTACCTACATGTGTGTGTGTGTGTATTCACAAACATATACATGTATTATATTAGATATAAATGGAGCACACGCTTTCATTGTTATGTAACGTGTTCCTGGAAAATGGATGAGGCCCCTCCCTTGGAAAATTGAGAAGCTGGTTTGGCAGTCACCCAGTATTATAGTCATCTATTGTTTGAAGACTATACTACAAAATGTACGTTTGCATTCATTTATAGACATTTTGACTTTTTATCTTTGATAGATTGGCTTTTTTGGGGATCATTCTTGACGCGCAGCGGCCTGATTTTTCCCTCGAATTGGGGTCTTGAAAAAAATTTGGGGGTCTTGAAACAATTTTCCAGGATTTGGTGGGGACCCTGTGCCACCAGCCTGAGAGTAGTGGAATGTTATCATCTTTTATTAGGATTTAAATACCACCAACCTGAGAGTAGTGGAATGTTATCATCTTTTATTAGGATTTAGATACCACCAGCCTGAGAGTAGAGGAATGTTATCATGGAGTAATTCAAATAGATCTCGTAAGACTTCAACATTAATTCCTTAACATGGGAGAGCTTAGCTCCTGATAGACCCAGCTGGAGAACAGCAATCACAAATAGCAGCAAATCTTAGGAGTGTTCACGAATAAGAAATGCTGAAGCCAAAAGAAGCCTGTAGGTTGCGCACACCTGCTAGTTGAAATTAAGTTTTTAAATGACCAAAATGTGTCAAACTCGTCTCTATTAGAATTGGTCTCATTGACCACAGCAAAAGCCACAAAGTCATCTTAACCTTATTTCTTTGGGTTCAATCTAAGAAATGTTCTCCTCCGTAGTTGCGCTGGTTATGGTCAGACATTGAGGAATGAACTAGCATTATTGTAAGTGTAAATCTAGTGCATGTGAATCAAAAAGAGCTTTGTCATCAGTAGTGTGAATCCTGTGACTTCTGCCAGGTTTTTATGCTTTATCAGAGCTCAAGATTGTACGTTTTCTCAGAGGTGAAGATTTTTGTACTTTCTTACAGGAAACCTCAGTCAACAGGATTGAGCTCAAACCAGATCCCAACGAGGCCTTGGTACTGGCAGCAGCAGAGAAGATCGGCCTTCAACCTGTTGGATGGATCTTTACAGATTTAGTCGCTGATGATCTGTCCAAGGGAACTGTGAAGAACTTCAGGGGGAATATAGTGAGTTAAACTAAGAAAAGAATCTAAACATATTGGCATAATGGCTTTGAACATCATGCCCTCACTGGAATGTAGAAGGCAAAAGAGGCAGAGGTCGGCCCAGAATAATTTACTTGAAGTACTTGTAGAGATTGGTGATAGGAAAAGACCAGGATAGTGTAGGTTTTTGAAAGCATTCAATTGAGAAGAAGATGATGGCCAATGCCTGTTTCAGATCTGCCACTTGAAGAAGAAAAATAAATACATTGGTGTGAATTTGTTTTTATTTTATTTTTGTTTGGGTTTCTTCCACTGTTGATCTGTTGTTTGGGGTCAGAGAGACTGTATTGTCTATTTATTTTGTGGATCGGCATTGGGCATGAGTCTCATTTCTGTCTGCTATATAGAAATATTTCAGTATTGTCCTCATTTTGGTAAATGTGTCTTAAGCAAAGGTGTGCGTTCTAGTGTTTGAAATTCATGGTTGTTCCACAGACACTCCTGTTTTGTCTGCTTTTTTAAATATTTTTCTCAGTGTTTCACTGTGTCATGAAGTTACTGGTGATATCAATGACTGAGTACAAGACTCCGACAAATGCCATTTTGCAACATTTGTTGCAGTTTTGCTCTCAGCCGTCATTATGTAGATTGGCATGTCTCTTTCTATAGGAAGCTTTTGATTGATTGATTTTTTTCAATCTCCCCAGGATTCTCACTTCCTTAGCTCTGAGGAATGCATAATGGCAGCAGATTTTCAAAATAAATTTCCCAACCCATGCAGGCTGTCTCCTGACGGACATTTTGGATCTAAATTTGTTACGGTGGTTGTAACGGGTAAGGAAACTGTTTATCTTTTGGGAGAGGGGTAAAAGTTATGCCTCTTTCTTTTTTTGTTCATTTTTTCAACTCTTCCTCTTTTCATATTGCATTCTTTGGATGTCTAGTCAATATTGTATGTCAAAAGTCTAAGACTTGTGCTCATATGACCTAAAACAGTTGCAAGCGCCATAAAACTTTTACCAAACTGAAAAATACTTGAAAGGTATATCTGAAATGCATGCCTGTCTTATTTCTATGTGAACTATAATGGTTCCTTGTGTATGGTACTCACTTGTCCCTACAAAATTTTTATTTTCACTGCTGAGATTTCATGAGCAATTATTTAGAATGTGTATAATTTCTCTTGTGAGAACTCTGTGAAATATACTCAATTGTGGATTTAAGTTGAATATAAGCTGTCAAGCTAGATTTTAGCTTTTATACTATTATAATAATAATAATAATAAGGATTCTACACATTAGATCTAGATTCTAGATTCTATATGGTGCAAACCAACACATGCAGAAAAATAATTGAACATTAACTGTCAAGTTTTATAGATCTAGCTGTTATACTACTGTTGTGGATGTACAATATCAGTACAAGGGTGAAAGCATGGCTTTGGATTTATATGGATTAACATAACACTGACAACAGAAAATTGTGTATGCAGTGTATGTTTTTTTCTCTCTTATTTTCTTGTTAAGTTTAGGCTTGAATAGCCAGAAATGGCATACTTAACATGCCCTGAAACCAAAAAAATCTCAAACGTAAGGGGGGCGCCGTCCCCCTTCAACCCGCTGCCCTGGACCCGAATATCCTAGAAAAATGACATCAGCTGCTGGAAGCTCTGATTAGTCTCTCAAACCCTGTATTTGTGCATGTTGACTGTATCGTGAAATATGCTGTGGTAAACAAAGCACGGTGAGCGGTTGACGGGTGCTCTAGTGTGGTTTGCCTCTTCTTCCCTGTAAAAAAATCTGTTGTCTTGATCTCTCCTTTTTTTGTATATTACTTTCCAGTAACACCTCTAATCTTTTGAGTGGTGTTGGTAGCCTTGTAGTTAGTCTACTAGACCTGTAATCCTGAGATTGCAGATTTGAGGGTTAGAGCCTCAGCTTGGTCCGACGTTGTGTCCTTGGAAAGGGCGGAAAGGCACTTTACACAAATTTCCGTTTTGGCTCTGTCAGAAATGGACATTAAACTTATAGTTCCCACCTCTTATATATCCTGATAGTGTTGAGGGGGCGTTAAACCTATACCAAGGGGGGCTCTCGTGGCCTAGAGGTTAAGGTGTTGGCCTCTCATTCAAAGGTCCCGGGTTCGATTCCGGGTAGCGACCAAAAAATTTTCTTCTCTAAAATTGTCTCCTTTCACATCCTTTCCTGATCTCTAACAATGTTCTGTTGTCTGCTTTCATTTCCACTTTCTGCCCCCACCCCCTCACCTCCTTTGCCCCCTCCTCTGGGCTCCTGACTCTTTCTGCAGCCTTTCTACTGCTACTCCTTGGCTCCTCCTAACTGCTGTCTTTCTGCCACACCCCTGATCTTCTGGTAGGAAAGATCTACATCTAGCCTTCTCGGACAAGGGCGAAAAATCTCGGAGGGCCCGTGTGCAAGTTGCGCACGTTAAAGATCCCTTGGTGGTCTAAAATCGATAAGAGTAGGCTTCGACCGCCACCCGGGCAAAATTCAAAATTTCCTACCAACGAAAAAGTATTAGGTGTGTCCCGCGCGCTCATATGACCTTATGCAGTTGCGAGCGCCGTAAAACCCTATACTAAACAAACAAACCTATACCATTTCACCATTTCTAATCTCCGGCGCTTATATGACCTAATTGTGTTGCATGTATCGAAAAATGCTTAGACAAAAAAAAAGCATGTTAACCCTTTTGTTACTTCAGGTGATAACGACAATCAGATCCACTTTGAGGGCTACCAGGTGTCCAACCAGTGTATGGCTCTTGTCAGAGATGACTGCTTGCTGCCCACTAAAGACGTGCCACAGCTGGGCTATGTCAAGGAGTCTAGCAATGAGCAGTATGTCCCAGATGTCTTCTATAAGGTGAACATAAGTTACTTACATATTTTGTTGGGTTTTTTAAAAACACATTACACCCTAAGGGCCTGGACGGGAAGTCCATTCCTAGATTCTAAGCAAGGGGAAGGAACCCACCTCCCGTGAATACAAGCGTTTAAAAAACACATTTTAAAAATACTAAACAAATTCCAAAAATCCTGAAAAAATAAGTTATAAAGAAAAATGAAAGTTGTTTCAGAAAAATATAACTTTATGGTTGCGCAGACTGTTGGAAATGTTCTAACTTTAGTTCAATCGGGGTGTCCGACCCGTCACTCTCTCGGTCGGGCCATAAATCTAAATTCTAGATTTTCTACATCTGATCAATCTGAATCGCCCCATACTCTTGCTACAACTACAACGTTTTCATCGAAATCTGAGTCCTCTGATTTGTCATATGCTTGTTTTTGCTCAAATCCATCGTTATTTCCTTTTTCGAACTCAACTGTATCGCTTTTCAACAAGTTGAGACACCTTTGAAGTGTCGGTAAGGCGATTGCACTTCGATCGGCTCTAATACTAAAACTACTGGCCCGAAAAATTTCGTTTCTGTATCAAACGAAAGAAGAAACCTTTTGGGATAACTATGCAGATCAAAATCTCAGCCCCAGAGTCTCGTGAAGGCGAGACTTCGTTTCTAAAGATGCTAGGCCGGCGCGGGCGAGTTAGGGTGGACCGCGTAAGGGAATTTGCAGGCAATCCGAGACGAGTTAGGGTGTAATGTGTTAATATAAGCAACAGGCTTGTTTAGGAGATACGGTGGCTTGTCTGGAGTTTTTTTCCTGTTTTGTTTTCAATATTTTGACCTTCTTGGTTGTTGTAAGTGAAAAATTTACTGCCTTTTTGTTAAAAACGTTTGCCTGCCTCCCATCCCTTTTCTCTACCTCACATTTGCATTCACAAATGATACTGTGTTTTTGTGGTAGCGTGAATGATAGCCTCCCTCTTGTTTTCATCCTGTAGGAAAAAGACAACTATGGAAATGAAGTGACCCAACTTGCACGACCGTTGCCCGTGGAGTATCTTCTGACCACACTCCCAGCTGCTTTTGCTTCAGATTTTCATTACACTTTCAAGTCCAACATCCAGAACACTGAAAATTTCCCAGTTGAGAACAGGGAAAATATTGGACACAGACAGGTATTCATTTGGAATTTGAGATTTTTTGGCAAAAGGTTTTTAATGTTGCTCACAAGATTAAAGATAGCTCGGTAGGAAAAGTTTACAGTGGTACAACAGTGTGTGTTGTGGATGTGCATGGGAAATTATGTGGTCGCTTTTAAGCACAATGGGGCTATCCCGAAATATGCTGTTTTGAGACAATCGAAGATAAAGTTTTTGGACCCTTGTTCTAAAAGGCAAGAAGAGTTTTCTCTATAAAGAAACAAATATACACACCAATAGAACCAGACTTCTCCTATAGGTAGGTCAATGCCCAAGTTTGGTGTAGGTAAAGATTTCTGGAAACCCCTGGTCCTTAAAAGCGACCATATTATCTTCTAGTTTAGTTGTGTTAAAGTGAGTTTTTCAAGAAATTAGAGGTAAGAAATTGTAATTGTGATTTGGTTTTACGCCTCCATCAACACAATTTGGATCATATAGTAGGCGGGACTGAGAGGGACACTTCCTAGCAGACAGACTGAGCTACCAGTACTCAATACAAAACCTGTTCACACTCTAATCGAATTCACATCTTCATGCAACGGCGAAGCACCTAAGGACTATACCACAGACACCAGTATGTTATATATATTTAATCATTACGGCGAAGCACCTAAGGGCTACACCACACACACCAGTATGTTATATATATTTAATCATTAATATTCTACATTGACCTGGGTTGGGTTGTTTTTTTGTGTAATACAAAGACTCTTTGTCGGGCATGCAGGTGTTCATGCAGTTTCTTGTAAGGAAGTTATGTTATCAAACGCCTCTGTCTGTCTGCCGGGATGCTGTGTCCCAGTCTGCCAATGGTAGCCTACACAGGCAGGATTAAAGCTGCCAGTCTCTTAAACAAACAAAAGTATGTTGATGTGGGACGTTTAACACTTCCTACTTGTCATATTTAACAATGGTAGATTTATGAATCAAGGCAATTTTTTAAATATTTATATTGTATGTGTCATAAGTTTGGGTTGCACAGATCATTAAAAATACTTCTTGTGTGAAGTCAGTCCATTTCTTGTCTGCCTATTTACATAAGATTTTAGTATCTCTCAAATTTGTGGGTATTTTTCATTAGATGCTCTGAAAGTAGTCATTTGCAATAGGTTTATCAATTTGAGATTCTTCAAATTCTAATTTTCTGAATTTGTCCTCTGTTTGCCAGGATTTTGCTGCTTTAACATCATATCTGGAAAAATTTCCACCGAACAAGTTCCTGGAGGCAATGTCTGATTTCCATTTGCTGATGTTCTTGGCCACATCTGACATGCTACCTCTGAAGGTAATCCAGCATCCCTCGATTTATCTTCTGTCTGGGCCCCTGACCCTCAATTTACCCTCTTCCTGGGCCCTACGCTCAGTATTACTGTGACAATGTGTTTCTCTTTACTCAAACAAATAAAACAGTATATCGAATTAGTCACATTTCGTTACGAGTAGACAGTTGAAACGGTGTACAGAATATGAATGTTGTACAACAGGCTCAAAGGGTTTAGTTATCTGGAACAAAAAAATTGGATGTCATGGGGGGGGGGGGGGGGTAGACCACAATGTCCTTTACGCAAATTGTAAGTTTAGTCAGCTAATTTCTAATTTTCTTTGTCTTTTTCAGTGCTTGCAATATCAATACTTGAATGGAAAATGAGGGAAAGGACTTAGATATTGCTTATGGGGTGTCACAATATTCAAAATAGATTGTCAAGTCATGAAATGAGAATTTGCAGGTGTGGTAAAGGAACTGCACATACAGATGCTCAGATGTGTGATTTAGAGATTTCAGTTTTACAGCATTCCAGGTGGATTTGAGAAACAAAGCGATATTTTGCAACCATGAAAAGTTGTACATCCTCGTGAATGTTTACTATACTTTTTGTTTTCTGCACAGGAGAAAATGCAGATTTTGTTAGAAGCTGTGAAAAATCATGATGAGTCCAAAGCCCTGGAGTTCAAGAAGACAGAAGAGTGGGCCACTGTGGAGGAAATGATGTCTGCTCACGGTATGTAAAGGGCTGTTGCGCACATTTAACCAACCAGCTTTTTGTGAATTTTGAAATGTTATATTTTAAGACAAAATTTTATTCAGACCAGAGTGAGGAAGGCAATGATGGATGGTGAAGTATTAAGCCAGACCTAGAGAAGATGGGCCAACGATAGTTCCCAGAAAAAGCTGTAGGTGTTCTTTTTAATCCAGACCCTAATGCTTTGACCATAGAGATGCCTGCTAGGTTTACATCACTGCCATGCACTTGAAAGTCAGCAGTGAAACTTGTGAAGGGAAGGTATAGGGAGAGTGTCATCGTTTTTTTATTGCCTACCCCACAGCGTTTCTTCCACACACACACACACTCTGATTTTTCTTCACAACAAATAAAAAAGAAAAACACACACACACCCGAGTTTTACTGAACTTTGTAGTATGTGGGGAGGGGGGGGATGTTGTTACTCATAAAAAACGAAGTTTTAAGCAGTGAGCACAGTATAAATAAGACATTTTCTTTGTCATGTTTGTTTGTTGGAGTTTCTTGTTTTTTGTTATTGTTTGTTTTTATTGGGGGGGGGGTAATTTCTTTAAGAATATAACGTCCTTGGTACAATTGATCAGTTACAAATTTTTAACTCTTTTTATCTGTACATTGCATTACACAGGGAAGTGGAAAATCCTTATTCGAAGGCCACAAGCCTTCATAACCATCTTTGTGATTAAAAAGAAAAATTGTAATTGTCATGTTTTACACACCCATCAAAACAATATTGATAATTTAAGAGGCAGGATGCTTCATGCCTGCCTGTCAGGGTGGACTCAAGCCTGAATGGGATACAACATCCCACCAAGCAGACAGAGATACTAAATTTTTTTTAAACAGTCCCCAGTCAGGAATTGAACTTTTGTTTTCTGCTTGAAACAGTGAACTTGGCCCTTGCACGCTGGGTGCTGGTTCTTTTGAGTTGACCGGCTGTTTATACTTTCAAACACTAAAATGAGCACTCTGTTAGTTCGGTTGGTATCATGCTGAACTAAGGAACAGATGGACCTTATTCAAATCCCAAATTGAACTCGGGTCATTTTGTGGAGTTTTAAAGGCTCTCAGCCCATTTGGCTGGGTCCTATTGGAGAAGGATGTTAAATTTGGAAGTCCTACCTACTTCTTTAATAACCTAATACTGTCGATAGGGGCATTAAACATTGCACTAAATACCGAAATAATATTTTGGCTTTTTTTTTTTTTTTTTTTGGTGTATTTTTCCTCTGCAGAGCCTGGGGCTTCTTTGGCGTCTGGCGGAGGAGCTGAGGGATCCTCGTCCAGTTCTGGCCAGTCGGGAGGCGGCATGTGGACCTGTGCTCATTGCACCTTCCTCAACCAACCGGCGCACAACTCCTGCGACATTTGCTCTTTACCTCGTTCTTAGGCGTGTCATTCTATTATGGTTGTGTGGTCAGGCACACGCAAACTTTTTAAAGTAAACATGATGATTTTTAGCACTTGTAAGTATAGATATTATGATGAGTACGAACCATGCCTGCCTGGTCTCGAGTATTTATTTCGGTGCATTTTTGCTTATGTTCTACTGTTCATTCAATGACTTGACCTGCCTTAACTGTAAGGAGTTTTTTTTTTACTATCTTTTTCACAAAGAAGTTTATTGTGCTTGATAGTTCTGTTTTATTTTTCCCAAAGAGAATCCTCCACATTTCACAGAAAATCCTCAGAAGTCTGTATAAGCAAAAACAAATGTATGTTTTGAATAAGGAATTTACTTGTATACTTAGAGAAGTATATATGTTATTACGCAATCAACCATGAATTTATTCATTGCTGATGAGTGATGATGAAGAGACTGAAGTCTTGGTGTTGGACGTTTAGCCTTTCAGAATTTAGTGAGACAGGACGAAAGTCGCAAGTTTTTACCTTTATGGTGAACTGATGGCGTTGGTTCACCATCCAGTACTTCGGTGTGCAAGTGCATGTGTTTTTCATTAATTGCTTTCCGAGCAAATCCCTCTAATGTGAGGTGAAATTATTGCTTGACCAATTGGTAGTGCGAGGTGAAAATTTGAGGAGTTTACTTTATATTTTGGAGGCGATGTGCCTCTATGTAAAAATGAGCAAGTCACATATCTGCCCGTAGACACAAGCTGACAGCCATTTTAGGGAGCTGTTGTTTTGTTTTTGTTCAGTCTCACCTTGCTTTGAACATGCGCTTCAGGTGGATTGTCTCTGTCTCCTAAAGCCAGATTTCCAGGGAGCTTGGTAGTTGAAAGAGATTATTTTTTTGGCTGATTTGGTGTGACACAACAATCGTATGACTAGAATAATATTTGTGATGTATTTTTTTGATGAGTATGATTTTATTCTAGGTGAGGAAGACATTTTCTATCAAGCAAAAAGTAATTTAGTCCTTGAAAATGATAGGTCAACATTTTTCAAATAATGTACCTCAGAACATGTATGTCGAAGTGTGTGAATGGCAAAGTCTATCGTCTTTATTCTTTTCAATTCTTTAGTTTCTCCTGTCATCTCATCCTTTAAATTGCTGTGGCTTTCTATATGAGATTGCTTCTTTTCAGCTGGAACAAATACTTTTTCCCCTTCACATTGGCTTGATTTGACTTATTCTCAAACACAAAATGGAAGTCAATTTTTTAAAGTGAAAGCAACCCTTTTCAGAGAAGTCACAATTCCGGCTCTTTGCAGAAATTCAGTATTTGTTTTCAGGTGTGTTTTGTGGGTATAATGTTCATCAAAGTCAGTTCTATCAAAGGTAAACCTTGCAAAATAATTGGGGCTTATTGTAAGGGGCATAACGGTGTGTCTGTCTCGCTCTTTTTCAGTATTGTGTAGATGTTTGTGCAGAATTATGCTGTGACGTCTCTTGTTCTCATCTCACTTTGGGTTGGACTGTGAAAGTAAGGTCTTACGTAGCTGTTCTAATATATAATACATCTTGTATTCGGTGACTAGTTGCAACATTCTGATCTGGATGCAAAGTGCGCATGTTGACTTTGTGAGCGAAAAATGGGTTTATATAATTTACAAATTGCTATTTCGCCAGTAGTAAAGATAACAATTTTTTCCTCAAGTTGTGGTTTGAGTCCAGGAGACGCGATGAGACAGTTGGTTGCTTGGGATGAAAGCAAAAACATATTTCCCATTTGCTTTGACCTAGGGGGTACAAACATTTGTGAGGCATCGTAGTGAAATCAGACACCTGTCGAAATACTGAACCCGAAGAAACCGTTATTTTTCTGCCAGTTTGGAAATTTTTCTAGAATTTTGGTTTTCAGGCTCAACACCTTATATGTCTGTATAAAAACACATTTCTATGAGGATTTTGCTGAAAAGGCCTATATTATAGGCACCAAAATTGCAGATGTTCAGTTTCCAAGGACTCTCAAGCTTTGGAAGTCATCAAACTTTGACAGCCATTTTCTCGCTAATTTTACCACTGAAACCAGGTGACCCCCCCACCTCCTTCTATTGCAAATATCTCGACTTCTATTCAAGATGAATAGGGTTTTTTTTGTCCTCTAAAGCAAGGCAAATGAATAAGCTTTAAGCTGATACATGTACCAACTCGTCGTGACACATTTGTGTAGCCGTTGAAAAAGAAAATATTGGTGCTGAAGCTACTAAACTACCGTTTCTTTACAGAGAATAGGTATGAGCTCTTTATGGACCCTGCTCATTATTCACAAAGGTAAAAGATTTTATGCCAGCTGAACACATTCATCAGGATGTTCTTGTGAGAAATTTAGCACTGACATTTTTGTTTTGGCTTTTCTATTTTTTTTTTCCCCTTCCAAATAAAATGTTGAAAGATTATGAATTGTCGCTTTTCTGTGTACTCTTTAGATACTATCCATAACTTTTTTTCAACTCCATTTCATGTTTATCTGCGTCTGTGGTGTAGTGGTTAAGCACTTCAACAGCACATGCAGGAGACCTGAGTTCGATTCACAAGTGGGGAGAGATTTTATTATTATGATCTTTCTGCTGAGATGTTGTATCCCTCTCAGACCAGGTTGGCCCTGGGTGACAGGCAGGGTCAAAGCCAGCCTTCTTGATTATCTAAACTAGATCTATTGGGGCCTAAAAAACGCCTAATTTTAAAAAAAAAATGTAATTGTGCATTTCATAAGCACTGTATTGAGTGTTCTCTGCCCTACTGCCTGTACCCCTCTCTCTCTCTCTCTCTCTCTCTCTCTCTCTCTCTCTCTCTCTCTCTCTCTCTCTCTCTCTTCTGGCGCTGTGACGTCATAAACGGTCAGCGATGCCAGCAGCACGCAAGAACTCAACACTTGCCCGGGGGTCCATGAAAAGTGCTGAAAGTGGTTGTTGAGGTCCTGGTGTTCCCGGTGGGTCGACGCGTTCTGCAGCTGTCGTCTTGGTTTGTCGGTTGGTAGACTGACATCCTTCGGCAACAGCTGGCGGGAGCACCATCTTGCAGTTTGCAGGCTCGTCGTTCACTCCTTACCTGTACTTGTAAATGATAAACAAATAAAAGAACTTCATTACCCTCCAGACCTGGGGACACACCTTAGAGTGCCTCAGCATGTGGTGGTGGTGGTAGTCAAGCAGTTGCTCCAATGTGATCGGTTGGGGGGGGGGGGATACCAAAGTATCAAAGACTTACTTAAATAAGCTGAGCCACTGACCTGTTTTATCGAGGGCTCTGGGTCCAAAAAAAAAAAGAAAAACAAAAAAATTCTAACATTGCTGGTCTCAACACTTATCTAAGTCATTTTAAAACTTGGAGAGTACAGTCAAACCTCGTTGTACCTCCAGGTTTTGCCAATGTACAAAAAGAGATGCCATAAACATAGCATGTGTGCCTTTACACCGCCATCCCCCAACTGAGTTCAGTTCGGTCCTTATTAAACTAATGTAAATTAGCCCGCTGTACTATCATAGGTACATACTATACCCGGCGCACAGCACTCGGGCAGTGCCAGTGTCTTTAGGCCATTCCCAAAGAGGGGACATTTCTCGTTCAAGCACTGTAGAATTGTAAATGGGCTGATTCATCATGTCACGCTCATAACTGTGCCTGATCTGCAACAGGGAATTGCTGCTTTTTCTTTCATAATCCTTACTATTGTCATTTTCTTCTACTTCTTTTGTATGTTTGTCACACTCTTGTGACCTGCTATTTCCGGGGTGCCTTGATAGTCGAAGCAGACCTTGTGCTGTTGAAGCTAGAGAGGTGAGCAGAGTAAGTCTGATTCCCTGTAAGGACTTCTCTGTTGACACCCACCCCTTGCGCTTATATGACCTTATGCAGTTGCGAGCGCCGTAAAACCCTCTACTAATAAATAAAAAAATAAGCACAGCACTCACTTTGTGGCTCCTTGATAATGTTTCCCACACTCGTCTCTGCGATTCAGCCTTTTGTACACATTTCGTCTGTCACCGTCTTGCTCCTGATTTGCGCTGATTAGGGGCTGTTCAAATATAATCTTACACTTTTTTGGGGACTTTTTGACCCCCCCCCCCTCCTTCTTACACTTTTCTTACACTCCCGTAATATTACATTGTTAGCTTATAATACTAATAATATGACAATTATATCGTACAAATCCGTGTTAGAATCATTGTTCCATGTTCTTTACATAATATATTCATTAAGAACATGCATATGTTCCGCGCAATTTACAGATCAGCGCAATCTTAAGATAACGAGTTTTAACGATCGTATTATTGCGCGGCAATCTTTAAAGGTCACGTTGCACATTTAAACGATTGTATAATTCACTTCCATCTTTATTCTTTTACTCACATCAAGGAACATTCACGTATATTTTCATTTTCAAAAGTGCAAAAATATAAACATTAAAATTTAATCAGATATGAAACTGAAGAGCTCACAAGAATGATAGGCGTACAATTTGAATTATATAATCGTTAAAACGCGCAGCGCAATTTTAAAACTGCCCCACAATCTTAAGTTTGCCACGCAATTGTACGATCGTTAAAACGTGCAGCGCAGTCTTAAGATCGGTAAATTGCGCTGAACACATACACAGATTATATCATACGTATGCACATAATACTATCCGTTTTCTTTTTAAAAAATTACAGTGGATCATTCAAGCAAAATATTGCATACACTCTTTCTTACTAATAAGGAAAAAATTGAGACTCATGTCAATTTCAAAAGCGCCTTAATTACAAATAAAACAAATTACAGTGGAATTCAGGACCGAAAAAAATGTTGACTTTGAGCTAGGTTGACTTTATCCGTTGTACATTTACTACTCGCCTTTGTAAATTGAAGATGACAGCTACAAAATTACAAAGTACCTGGTAACAAGATGTTAGCTCAATTTCAGTGAGTATAATTCTGAAGTTGTCACCAAAACAAGAGATGATGAGTGAACAAAGTAATTGGAGGTGTGTACACCACTAGCTCTGGACCTAAATATCTCTTCTTAAATGAATTCATCTTCGGATTTAGCCCCAAATTCTTGACTTTACGCAAGGTTAGCACTCAAGTGGTTGACTGTACTGTAACTGTACATGTATCAGAAACCCAATTACTTAAACAAAGAAGGTAAGAAACAGGACCACAGTGAGGTGTTGACTGTAAGCAAGAGTTGACTTTATCAGGATTCCATTGTATCTGTTATTACTCCTCGTTATGCTTAAAACAAAAAGTGAAATTAGTTACCGTTAACAAAGGCAGTGTTCATCATTATGTCAAAAATATTTTTAAAACAGGGGCATCTGCTGAGCTGTCTTCCAAATAATGGGTCCTGTTACAACTTCCTGCTCTGTCTCCTTTTCCTCCTCTTCTTCCCCCACCTCCATTTCTTTCTGAGTAAAGCCGTGTGCCTTTTCAATGCTGCAATACTTGAAAAAAATATTGTCCTCATTCCTTGTGGCCTCTGCACACCATGCAGCCTTTCTTGACCAAGGCCACCCTTTTTTTCCTTATTTTTTCACCTCACAAAAGTGTAATATTACATTGGTTCAAGACCCCCCCCCCCCTTTCTTACAGGAGCCAAAGACCCCCCACCCCTTCCATGTGTAAGATTATATTTGAACAGCCCCTTATGAGAATGCTATTGGTTAGTTTTAGGCTTCGGTCAATATTTTGTTTAAAAATTAGATTTTTATTTTTTAATTACGTGGAGTAACTTCAAAGGACGTGCTTTACTTAGGCCTATTGGCAAAATATCTGACATCGCCACCGATGACTAAAAGGCTGACTGGCGTCCATGACGATTTTATATTATGAGGACTCACTCACTGTTCTGCGTGAAAGGCCTGAAGTGACATGAGGTCTGACGAGTGTCGGGTTTAATTTCTTTTATATACACGGGGATCATTGGCCACATAGTAAATAGCCTAACTTCTGATCCGGCTGAAAATGTTCATTTGAATGTTTACATAAAGTGATAAAGTTCAGCTTGAGTTGTATATGAAGTTGGTTGCTACTCGTTTTTCCCCCTGTGCATGGCAATCGCGCAAGACAGATCTATCATCTAGATGAGTCAAGACTGGTTACGTGTACAATAATTTGTCTCTAGTCTCTACCTCTATTCGAGATAACAATCGGTTCTATTTCGTTATACCGCCAGTCTCGCTGTACCGCCAACTTCATGCTCGCCTCAGGATAAGCGGTGTTGTATAACGGGGTTTGGCTGGATAGTTTGACGGGTGTGCTTTGCTCCTTGCTATCAAACATCTATCATCTTCATCTCTCCTCCTTTTCTTTGTGTGTAACTCTGCACTGTCTCTAGTAACACTTCTCATCTTCGACACTTATGCAGTCGTGACCACCCGATACTTTTTTAGCGGTAATATGAAATTATTGTTCATGTTTATTGTAAGCGGTTGCAGAATAGTTTCGATCAAAATCAGTACTTTGTGTGTCGACCTTTTGCACGGATGACGCTTGAATTGGACATGGTGTGCTAGCAGCATGCTTGATTGGTTTGTCAATATTATTATTCTGGTGGAATTTCACGTGTCCACACTTCCTTGATCGTACCCCCTACAACTTTTGAGCTTGACGACTGCTTGTTTAGGACCTTGTTTTTAATTAATTCTTAGAGATCTTCAGCTAGATTGAGGTCAAGACTATTTTCAAACCACTCTGAGGTTGTGACCGTGACCTTTTGAAGGTATTCTTGCCCAGTCTTTACTCTGCGGCATGGAGCCCCATCGTGCAGAGAAATTTTGTGCCTGTGAATGTGCATGTATATTTCCAATTTGTCCTGAAACAGTTTCAAGTACCTTTGGCCATTCAAAGTCTACCCAGGCTTTAAAAAATATTATCCTGCAGATCCAGACTTTGAAATTGAGACCCAGCGCGTTTCACTTGGCGGATATTTCTGTGTCTGTTTTGTATATTTTGAGCCGTATCTTTTCCCCGGTGAAAATGTGACACACTTTTGTTTATTTCTGAAGAAATTAGAGGTGGGCAAAATCCGGATAATCCAAAAGGATAACCGGATAATTCTCAATGAAACATTATCCGATTTCAGACTCTTAACTCTCTTTCCTAACCCGTTTGCAGAAGTGGGTGCACTCATTTGTTGCAGTGATGATAACCCGTTTGTCAAAGTGGTTCCAACCCATTTGCCGAAGGGGTTCATATAATATTATTAGCCGAAGAGGTGCACTAAAATATTATCCGGATTTTGCTGAAGCGACTCATTGCCCAGCTCTAGAAGAAATGCAACTCTGGTATCCCTTTTTTTTAATAACTTTTTCTTTTTCTTTGGGGGGGGGGGGATAGGTAAGCGTTTAAAGCGCTCGCAACTGCATAAGGTCATATGAGCGCGCGGGACATATTAAACATTTTCAGTTAATAGGGAATTTTGAATGTTGCCCGATTTTGGACCACCGAGGGATCTTTAACGTGCGCAACTTGCACACGGGACCTCCAAAATGTTCAACCTTGTCCGAGAAAGCCAGGTGAAGATCTTTCCTACCATAAGATCAGGGGTGTGCTTGAGAGACAGCAGTAAGAAGGAGCAATGGAGTACATAGCAGTAGAAAGGCTGCAGAAAGAGTCAGGAGCCTAGAGGAGGGAGCACAGGAGGTGAGGGTGTGGGGGCAGAAAGTGTAGGCGAATGGAGACAACAGAACATTGTTTGAGAGCAGGAAAGGGGGGGGGGAAAGATATTTTGGCTCTGTACTTCCTGAGATGGACGTTAAACTCGGAGGTAGGTAGATCTACCGCCTCTTAAATGACCTAATAGTGTTGATAGCGACGTTAAACTATTACAATTTCACCATGTGTTTTGTTAACTTACAATACAGCAATGGGCGGGCCCTGCATTGTCAAAATAAAAGAATAAAGGTAATCACTTTGTGTACTACTACTACTTTATTTCTTCTTTTATTTTTCTCTGTATAACTTCACATAAATCAGAAAATACAATTCTGTGTAGAATAAAATAAAAAATGTCTTCGTAGTATGATAACATCTGTTCTTTCTTTTTCACACGTATTTGTTTCTAGTCATAAGTCATTCACACGCTAAACAAATTAGCCCTGTATTATATTCAAGCACTCTCTTTTTTTAGACTGAAGAGAAAATGGTCGCTTCGGGACTCATTGTAGGTCCTGGTTCAAGCCAAAGTGAGTTTTTCCACATTGATAAGACATGATACATCTTTATTGTCCAGATCCTGGCACATTGGTTTGGTTTTTTTTTACTACGCACGCACACACACACACACACACACACACACGCACACAAACACACACACACATACACACACTCTTCCACGCACGTCTGTGCTCAGTGCTCAAAACCAAATAACCAAAGAGATACAATAGTATGCTTGCACTCATAAACAGGATCACAGTTACATGCGTAATATAAACAATATTAATGTTATTAATATTAAGCTAGATAGATCTACATTCTCAGTACATATACAATATATTCTGATCGTAACTTAATGGTATTTCTGGTGCATGCTTTAAAGACAATATGACTTCATAAGTACATTCAGATGGTCCGATGATCAAGACACGAGTTACATAATGTTATTATTATTATAATGTATCACTCAGTGCGGTACATTTTTAGTACTTTCGTCCCCAAAATCGGCTCGGAGGAGTAGATATGTGGTTGTTGGGATTTAAAAAATTGATTTTGGTGTGGATAGTGTGTAATTATTAGTCATTCATGAACTTTATTACCAAGATGAAGTGTATGAACTGATGTTGTGGCAGCTCCCCTAACCTTCTATATAAATAGATCTAAACAAATATTGTATATATATATATAATGTTCTTTCTGTCCCGTATTCTATTCGTGTTATATGAATTGTACAACTCATTTCTTCAATGTCGTTTCAAGCTATTGTGCTGAGATGCAACTATTTACAGTAGAACACAGATACCTCGAATTCGTCGGGATCGGCTTCCGTAGATCGAGGGATATCTTACAAAGATAAAGAAGAAAAAACAAAACCCGGGACCGCATGCACAGTTCAGAGGATGCGTGATTTCTAGTCCTCTGTGTTCGACCTTTCTCTGTTATACTGTACCTATTTATTTGTTACAAAGATCGTTAAATAACAAGATAGTTCACTCCTCTCTCTGAACCAATTTAAAAAGTGCCTTCAAAATCGGGTGACGCCCTCTCCGGAAAAGAGTGGACTTGGCAATCAGAGTTACCCCACTTGTGTGAGAAATAATAAAAGTGAAACTAACTAGGAAACTGTGTTATCCCCATAGAGTTACCCCATGGTTATCCCTATTCTTCTTCTGGACAAACGAAATGCAGCTTCAAAACAAAGACTGCAGCGCCATCTGAACCAATGAACGGACTTCCGTTGACACTTTTTTGGCTGAGTGAACTATCTTGTTAGCCTATGTACGATCTTTGTTTGCTTCATCTATCGCTATCACTACTATGTATCAGTATGCGGCGACCACCGAACCAACGTGTCCTCTTCGACTGGATTTTCCCCTTAATTCGACCGGTTGCTGTTTTATTTGCGCCTCGTCGTCGCTTGAATTGCAGAGATCGAAGCTACTGATGCTGTGTTGTTGTTGGCCGATCTCCACAGTAGCTCCCAGCTCGAGTGAAGAGTGGTCAATGTGGAGAGGCCCCTCGTTCAAACTGATGACCAGTTGCTTATCTTTTCTGGGGGGACTCGTGGACCTTATGCTTGAGCCGGGCCTCTTGCTGCCACAAAACGAGCCTGTGTCGTTGCACTTGTGCTTCATGATTTTGTACATGAGCTCCAGGAGAGAGTGGGTCTCTTCCAGCTGACTTTTCTCTTGCAGCAGTTGTTTCTGCATCTCCATTAGTTCTGTGTTTTCCTGTACGAGAAAGTGAATAACAATAATGATAATAATAATGATAATGATAGATCTAATAATGATAATAATAATAATGATGATAATACATTGATAATAACCGTAAAATAACAGCAATAATAATGATAATAATAATAATAATAATAACAACAACAATAATGATAATGATAGTAATGATAATAATAATGATAGATCTAATCATAGTAGTAGTAATAATAATAATAATAATGATGATGATGATAATGAATTAATTCATAAACAGCATTAGTATAGCTGATATCCATGCTCGACAGCAAGCTCTATGCGCTATACAAATTATATTAATGTATATATTGTTACCCCAGCCGACTCCAAAACACTCAGAAACTTTTTCGGCTTCCAGGGAAGCATACAGTGCAAGCAGCAGATTAAGCGCTTAAACACTAACAAAATTACCGTTATTGAAATCATGTCTTGTTATAGACAATGATTTGAGAAATCACATGAAATTTGACCTTAAAAATAGTCCATGTTGTCTGTTTGAGTAAAGAATGGCCCATCAACACAGTGCATGTAATAGTCGTTTAATACCGGGGGGGGGGGGGGGGGGGGTATGACAGACAGCGAAGGGAAAAGAACAGAAGCAAGACCGACCAGGAACGCACTCCCGTGCCAATATTGTTTCCAGCAAGAAGTTCAATTCCAACTAATAAGAAAGCTTGAAAAGTGTGTCATCAGTTTAGCCGGCATCATGCTTTGTTAAGGTGCGAGTGACTTGTTCAAATCGCCATTAGGGCGTGCTTGAGCTTTGGCGATTTGAGGGAGCGGGAGTTTCAATGCTTTCTGCCTGTTTGGCTCAGTTTGATCCAAATGCGAAATTCAAACCAAAAAAGAAAAAAAGATCCCGAGCATAAAAAACATCTTTATCACACCTGTGAAATAGTAAGGCACCTCACCCCCCCCCCCCCCCCCCCCCAAACACACACACACACTCATCCCTTGATTCCAGGTTTCAATGCTCCCTGCCTGCTTGGCTCAGTTTGATCCAAATGCAAAATTCAAACCAAAAAAGAAAAATAAAGATCCCGAACATTAAAAAAAGCATCTCTGTCACACCTGTAAAATAGTAAGGCACCCCCTCCCCCCTCCCCCTCACACACGTGCATCCCTTGATTCCAAACGTATTAAATATGTCCCTCATTTAAAGTCGGAGCGTTTATTTTACTTAGTAAGTCAAAATCTGAAGTGTATGCGGGGAGGGGATGTGGTACTTGGACAATCTACTTCCTCTATGTCTACCACCCAGGCAAAGCTGTACCATGCAGACTGCTTTAAAAAGAGTCTGTCAAGACGAAAAACGCCATACATTGTACTATCAGAGATGACTGTTGACTTCGGAGGTCCCACTTCTTAAATTATAACCTCACAAACTGAAATAGGCGGTATAACCTGTGTAGTTACCATAACACATGTATTAATTAATATCATTGTCGGAAACAACAAGCACACACTTCGAGCAGAGGAGGGCTGTAATATATTATGATGTCATGTACTTTAAATTGCCTGAAGCTCCTAATGACTGTTGCTTATATCTCCTGTGTTACAGCGTATTTCCTTTTGTAATAGATGTATTAGTTAAATGAGAGGAGAAGAAAATACTTTTTTGTTTTTCTTTATGGATAATGAACAATTATAACCACTTAATGCTATGGTGCTGCTGATTCAGGTTCAATTCCTCAGTGATGTACACAACGTGGGTACGTGCCGTCTTACGTTTCTATGTCTCTACGCCTTCTTGGTACGATACTATCTGAGATGGACGTTAACATTCGAGACCCTTTCTCTTTATTAGTTTTTTGTGTATTGAGACTCGGCCCAGTGACAGAATCTTGCTATGTTTGACCCATGATAAGAGATATTTGCACTACGTGTACTTTTTTCCTTATGTTATGGAAATTTTATTTAACAAATGAGCGTTTTATAAGACGTGATGAGGGCCAATGGCCTTAAACACTGAATAAACTTACTTTCTTACTAACTGGTACTTTGCGTTGGGAGGGGCACAAGACCCAAATTAGCTGGACGGGGGACAGGATGGTAGGTGAAGTACAGTATTTGTAAATGTTTTACACCTGAACCTGCATCAACACAATTTTAGATCACTTAGGAGACGAGCTCTTTCTACCTTACCTGTCAGTGTCAGGGCCAGATCTTGCTACAGGGGATGCATCAGATCAACGGAGATATCTACTCGATAAAGATCTTCCCACGCAAGAATCGAACTCACGTCTTCTGCATGCAACAGGGGAGAGACTTGTGGGTCTTTTACACGTTCAGTTGAAACTGACAGTTGTCCGTTCTCTTTGTGATAAGAAAATGATACATGATGCAATTTCCACAAAAATTCTTTTTTGTGATCCTCAACGTCTAGCAAGAGAAAGTAATCCGCTAGTTATTTCGTTAATTTTGATACGCTGGTTCCGAATTTGATTGGGGGTTTTTTCTTCTTTTTTTCACGTAGTTTTCAATAAGTTTACAAACGTGAATATTATCACCAGCAAGCTGCAGACAGTCCCAAGGTCGGACACCAAAAAAATCAAGCTATGCCTGTTTTTAGTAACGGCTGATCAGTTGGACAGTCTGCCAGGTTTGATGAGATTGCGGCACGTGTCATTTTCTTATCACAAAGAGAACGGACAACTGTCAGTTTTAACTGGGCGTGTAATACAGTCATAACAGTTTCATCACAGATTTCGATGAGTAGAGGGGGAGGGGTGTTTTCAGTTAGATGTAAGCTCTTTATGCATATTTTGTTTTCCAGAACAGTTTATTCCAAATCATATATTAAATGTTACTCCTGAGGTGTCCTATTTCATGTGCACGTTGTACGCCTTATTAAAGTCATGGTGCTCACCTTTTCCAAATCGAATCGCATCTTCTTCTTACTCTCATACGATTTCTGCGCAGACCTCTTGTTCATCTCTCGTCTTCTCTCTCGTCGCTGCTCTTGGTCTTGATCTTGGATGATTTCCCTGCAACACAGAAGACCAGATAGTTTACTGTTAATTTTTACATCGTACGTAGGCCTACGTGTAGGTCTATATTATAGAGTTGCTATTTAACTATTTAAGGTACATTAATGTTTTTGTCAGATTCAATCAGCGATATTCTTGGAATTCGTTTTTCTCTGAACAGGGAAATTTTATTGTGCCGGAACGCTTTTGTGTTTAACGTCCCAAACGACACACCCCAGCCCTGCCTCTTGAGGCCAACTCTTGCTGAATAAGTTACAGCATCCCAACGTCAGTCGGCAGTACTCGATAAAGATATTCCACTTTTGAGTACATGTATCAAACTCGTGTCCTCTCTGTGCAACGACGAAGAGCTTGATATGTCACAGTCGCTCCTTCCGCATTTCTTCTTTTGGCTTTGGGTAATTCCACGAAAAATGAAACTGTGGTGACACATATATTGCTGAGATAAAGAACTGCTAAAAAAATTATAAACAGTGAAATAACCCCACCCCACCCCCACCCTCGGTTGTTGTTGTTGTTGTTGGGGGGGGGGTCGGTTGCTTTGATTTGTTTTGTTTTAGTTTCAGTAGGAGGATGGTTGCCTTAAAAAAAACTAATGGTTATATCATTGCTTAGAATTTTTTTCAGCAGGTAATCATCTCTGCATTGCGCGTACCTTAGTACTGTAGTTTCGTTTTTCATGGAATGGCCCAGGTAAAGGGTGCTTATACATGTGACTCGAGGGTCGCTTTTGACTTTGCGCAATTTTGTATAGCATAATGATATTTTGACTTTTGTGTAAACGGCTCTAATTACTGGAAGTTGGGTACAATCAGGCGCGGTTCTATAACCAGGCAAGACCAGCGGAGCCGGTCATTGTTAGTCAGCTGTAGCGGACAAAGAGATTGGCTACTGGCAATAAATAGTTCTTATTCAGTTTCAAGTAAATCCAAATTAATATTTATCAACGTTCTTAGCATGTTCCCTATAAAAATACGCTCAAAGAGACAATGAGGGCTCGCCGGTGTGTTTTCGTATCACAAAAACTCGTTTCTAAATCTCAGTTCATCTCGCTGGCTCACAAAGTTGTTTTTACCATCTGCTGTCACGATGCGCGCCTTCGTATCGCGCGCTCAGTGGTGATGTCAGCAAGCCCGGCAAAATTGGGCAATAGCCCTCAGAGTGGAAAGAGCTCGCATCAAGGACCTTACAACAAATAACCTCCTTGGCCCGCATGAAGATCACCTTTCTTGCCATTTTTGGCTCTTCTGTTGCTTTCAAAGGACAAGACTGTCTTGAATAGTATGTCTTATACTTTCACCGATAATATTTATCATTAAACCAGCCTCTAGTCACCGTCAGTTAACACGTACATGTACTGTCATAATGGCTCATATCTTTATCGCTAAATGAATTTTGAGACACCCATGGTTCTGTTTGGTGTTCTGTTCACCGCTTACTTCCTGCTAGGGCTGTACCCCGGTAGCAAACCCGCTCGTGCTCGCAAGCCCCTAGTTAAAGTCACAAACCTCAAATCACTAGGTCAAATCACCAAATCAAATTACCAGCATGATAAGCTGAGTCTAGCACAAACTGTAACCTCCTTGGTTTAGTCTAAACTTCAAGTCCACAGCAACTAGCAATCCGCGAAGCCACTCGTGTCAACTGTCAGACCCCTTCATCATCCCCACCCTGCTTGCAATCCGCGAAGCCACTTACGTCAGAAAAAGAGAGAGAGGGAGAGTGAGAGATCCCGTCCACAGTGTCACTGCGCGGCGTAGCTCTGTAGTCTGCTCGATTAATCGAAGGCTTTGCAAAGCAGCTGACAGCCCCAAGTCTCAAATCCCGTCCGCAGCAACACGCCCCATGATTCACACAGTACTGATTTGCGCTAGGCCTTGTGAATTGTCCCAGGACAAGCTCGAAACATGACCTGCTGACTTGTGCTGTCTCGATACACCGAGCGAGCGGCACGCCGCAGTACCACTCGATGGCGGCAAGACAGCTCGATGTGTTCAAACAGCAGTACCGCTCGCTGTGTGAACTTTGAACCGTGGAGGAAAGGAGAGGCTGGGCTTGTTTTGGTGAAGAGAGAAAGTTATTTTAACTTCCCACCGTTGATCAGCTAAGCGAATGGATAAGTGAGAGGGAACGTGGTATTGTAGTAACAGAGACCTAGGTTTCTGGTAGTAATAAGAATAAATAGACTTAGATTACCCTAGAATGGGAAACTCCGGGGGTCGTTGTGATTGATTTTTGTATCGTATGTATGTAACCTATTTTGTAGATGTGTTAAACTCACACTGACATAATACAGAACATTTAGGAGGCGGGCTAGGCCTACTTCAACCCAATGTCAGGACCAACCTGGGCTGAGAGGGAACAACGCCCCAGCAGAAAGACGTAGGTTCTCAGTAAAAAATTCTCCCCATACGGGAATCGAACTGAGGTCTTTTGCGTGCGACGATGAAGCGCTTGGCTCGTGCACATTAAAAATAAACAGGCCTTAACATCGTAAGAATAGCCGATCCAATATCAATTTTTAAGTGCATTGAATAGAGCTTTTTGTTTTTTACAACCGAACTATGTAAAAAAAATAAACGATCTTGCACTTTTGGTGCAAGCCTCTCAACGCAAATAACCAGAGAATCTTTTGTAATACATGTATGTACGGAGCCCACAGCAACGAAGGTTCGCGGCGTCACGACACAGTAGAGCAGGACTGTCCGCGAGTCACAACTCACCGGAAGTTCTCCCCGGTAGCAAGCGGAAGGCAAAGCAAATCACAAGCCTGCTCGCAAGCCTCTAGCGCGAGCCGTCCGCTGTTTTGCAAGCCTTCGATTAACCGAGCAGAATCCAGCCCTACTTCCTGCTACAACATTACATGGCCCCAAAAGCACACCCGGCGAGTTGGTGGTTTGGCCAGTCTTTTTATATAACAGGAGTTTTAACGGAGGTGAGAGTCGAGGGTCGACTTGCGAACGGCACTAAGCTGTCAGTCTGGACCTCACCGCCCTTCCCCCCTCCCCCCTCCCTTTTCCCCCTTTTCCGTTCTCACCAAGCCCGACTCTGTGTTCTCAAATTAATATTTTGTTTTAGTTTGTTTAGTATAGGGTTTTACGGCGCTCGCAAGGCTATCTCGCTTATTACAGGATAGAACTTTACCAAATTTCACTCATATGACAGGCATAGTAAGGAGTCTTAAAATCTCCAATCAAATTTGAGAAAAAAAGTTTCGTTTCCATGGATACGGCGGCTATATTGGATTTTGTTGACATGTCTTACGTAATGAATACAGCACTTATCGCTCATGGAAATTGATTGGGGTTTGTTGTTTTTTTTGCATGCGTGTTAAAAAAAATTAGATCTAAAAATGTATCTGTTGTTTTTTTCCTAAACGAATTAGAAAATTTTTAATGAATTTTTTCCTGAGGTAGAATTCAAGTTTGCAAAAAATCCGTGAAAATCCACACTGCAGACACCACCAACAAAAATCTATTCATATATCACAAATTCATTAGACATATATTTACTATTAAATCTTCTCTTCATTCTGTGAAATTTCATGAAGATTGGATGAAAAATGGTGGAGTTATTCAAAAAAGTATAGAGAAAAGTCGCGTTTTAGGAAAACGGCCGATAAGAAAAATAAAATATTTACTTTATGAGGATATGGCGGTCACAAACATACCGAGTATGGGCAAAATTCTGTGTTTTGTGGGTTCTTATGCGATGAAATAGTTGTAGGAGAGGCTGAGGAAGCTAATAATGCCTACAACTCAAATTCCATAATTTTGAGCCGAATCTTGACTTTGGGGGTGTTCCCCCACCCACCCGTGTGTCCCCCCCCCCTTAAACAGAGATTGGAAATTTTTGTGTGCTTGCTTTATTCAATGCGTGGGCCTATGCGTCATGCGTTAAGTGCATTGTAGTTGTAGGCCTATTGTTTCGGATTCTGCTTAGACTTGGTCTTCTTGGCACAGCGTCAGTCGTGTGGTATCAACTTGGTTCTAAGTTTCTTCAGACTACTGTTAATCAGCTCGTTAACATTATCGTTAATTACATTTAAAAATTTAGTTGAAGGGGATCACGTTCCCAAGGGCTCTTCGTGTGTTTGTGTTTGTGCTGTTTTGTGAAAAGGTAGGGGGTGGGGGTGGGGTGGAAACAAAGATATAGAGGTATAAAATGCGTTTCTGTGCGTATGTGTCTGAGAGGACAGGGGGAGGGGGTGAGAGGAAGACCAAGGGGGTTGGAGGTTGTGGTAGGGTGGGAGGGAGGGGGATGGGAGTGAGAGAGAAGATCAATAATATGAATGATAGCTGGTCAGGTTCACAAACCACGAGCCGCCCCTGGGTACAATATTCCAATTTATCCATTTGCTTATTCGAACATCTATTCAGCGCACGCTATCTCTTCTAAAAATATTTCTTCTCTAATCACAAAATACACAGCGGGTGGTTGGCGGGTACTCTGGTGTGGTTTGCTCATTCTTTCCTATCAAACAACTATCGTCCTTATCTGTCCTTTTTTGTGTATGTTGCTTTCTTGTAACACTTCTGCTAATCTTCAGCACGTATACGACCTTATTGTGTTGCAAATGTCGTAAACTTCTTATTAAAACTAAAACAAAACAAATACAGATTACGTTCATAACGACGTTTTGTTTCGTCTCTCAAAAAACAAAGGCGTGGCACATTCCTGAATTTAAGAACAACCGTTGCTTTTAATATACTGTAGACATAATAGCCAAAGATAGTAGCCTACATAACAAGATGGGCCACTTCTGTCTTTGAGCCAATTAAAAAAGTGTCCTCAAAATTTGGTGGCGCCCTCTTCACAAAAGCGCACTCTTTGCGAACAGAGTTACCCTACTTGAGTTTTTAAAAATCAAAGTGTTACTAGCAAGTTTTGGGATAAATTTCGGAAGAACGCTTTTTTTAAATGATTACGCTGACAAAAAACCTCTTCCCGAGGAAGGGGTGATGGTTTTCTTCGTTTAATTTGACTTTAGAATGAAAGGCGAGAGGTCATTAAAATTTTTAAAAACTAAAACTCCGCACTGAACGTACCCGAACTGCTGATGAACAGCAGTCGATCTGCGCACGCAAGGAGGTGCTATTCCTATTCTTCTTCTCGAAGAACGAAAGAGAGCTTCAAAACAGACTGCAACGCCATCTGAAGCAAAGAGCATACTTCCTGCGGACACTTTTTTGGTTGAGTGGCCCATCTTGTTATTTACTATCTTTGTAATAGCCTATGTCACTCCCTAAAATGTTTTTGTCTTGCACTTCCTTTTTCTTTCTCATTTTTTTTCTGAAACAATTATTAAAGTGCGCCCCTGGCGCTGTTACTTGACATCTTACGTAGGTAATGTGTTGTTTCTAAAAAATTTACGTCAGAGCGACCTGTCTTATAGAATACCATTTGTTGGAATCAGTTAGATCTACTTCATAGGTCGCCTATAGAATAACAATTTTCAAAGTCTGAAGCAGATAAACTGGCATTCACACAATGTACACTGGATTCATTTTGGCATGTGTCCCACCGTAAGACTGGTTTGCTATTACACGCAATGATTTAACTGAATGTGAACCGGATCTCAGAAACACATGCACACAGCGCTGTCAACACCTCGGAAAGTCGGGAATCCCATGCATTAAATCACCGTTATTGTGTTGATATGCTTCTCCTTAGACAAACTCAACCTAACGGTTTTTATGCATTGTTTGTAATCATTTACGAAGAAGTATCGAAAGCTGCTTTGACCACTCGCTTTCTAAAAATAATTTCACTTTGCCAACACCCCCCCCCCCTCTCTCTCTCTCTCTCTCTCTCTCTCTCTCTCTCTCTCTCTCTCTCTCTCTCTCTCTCTCTCTCTCTCTCTCTCTCTCTCTCTCTCTCTCTCCTCCAGTACATAATGAAAATAAAACTGAAACTCAACTACTTTGGGCATATTAATCGCCATGAGTCACTCGAGGTACATTCTGGAAGCAAAGGTAGATGGGAAAAGGGGAAGTGGAAGACCTAACAGAAGATGGAAATAGGACACAGATAGCTGACTTGAAACCAAATAGCTCACGCAGACAGAACAGCAAGGAATGTTTTATGCAGAAAAGTTTATGAAACTGGCTTATTTTCTCTCTCTCTCTCTCTCTCTCTCTCTCTCTCTCTCTCTCTCTCTCTCTCTTGTATGTCTGTATAGTATATACTGGGTTTGTGGAGGGGGTAAAAAGAGATTTGCAAAGAGAGGCAGAGAGAGAGAGAGAGAGAGAGAGAGAGAGAGACAGACAGACAGACAGACAGACAGACAGACAGACAGACAGAGACAAAGACAGAGAAACAGGGAGGGAGAGAGACAGACAGAGACACAGAGACACACGGAGACACACAGAGAGAGAGAGAGAGAGAGAGAGAGAGAGAGAGAGAGAGAGAGAGAGAGAGAGAGAGACAGAGACAGAGACAGAGACAGAGAGAGACAGGGAGACAGAGAGAGAGAAAGAAATTGGGGCGGGGGTTGGCGTGTAATTGATTAAAAGTCAGTACTTTATTACGACCGTTCAATTTATCGCGTGATAATTATGGTGTTTGGTGTGAAACCGACGGTGCGTTTGTTGCATATAAAACTGTGTTACCAAAATGGCCCCAAAAAGACATTTGTTATTTTATTTTATTTTGACTTTACGGAGTCAAAGCCATTGGCTTGTCCGAATTTTTCGGGCGCTTCCTGATATTGGCATTAGTCTTGCCACGGAGCCAAGCCGTGGGAAATCGCTTACACACATTTTAGATCTCATTTTTTAAAAATGTTGGTGGTGGTGCTGGTAGGTTGTTGTTGTTTTTTTTTTGGGGGGGGGTGGTGGATGAGCTGGAGTTTGGACGTCGGCTCTTGGCCTGGGTGGAGCGGGGCTTTCCAGACTTGGGCGACTCTGCTGGTTTGTGTGTGTGCGTGAGTGTATATGTGTATGTATGTGAGTGTGTGTTAGAGAGAGAGAGAGAGAGGGGGGGGGG